TACATGTATTTCTCCCCATATTACAGCCCAAAAAAAACAAAAAAATTTTTTTGTTAGCAATCTATACACAATGACTCCTATGTAATAACACTTCAGCAAAACTCAGGCCAACGAAAACTGTTTACATTACAAAATATAAAAGGATAAGATCATATTAAGCAAGCACAATGAACATAATGGGAATGTGGCACTAAAACATAAATACAGGTGTTAAGCATTCCAAATTCTTACATAGTATGAGAGAGGATGCTGTGAATTGTCTTCCTTATTAATATAACTAATACTGTAAAAGAGCTCCAAGTAAATGTGTCTGTCTTTGAAGTGCCACATAAAACTATCATTTTGGGGGTTTCTCCATAAATGTGATATATCATACTTTGTGGTACCAATTATTAATGTTTAATCAAAAACAAGTCCTATTCAGTTCAATGGGGTTTACTCCCAGGTAAGGAGTTAGGACATCCAGCAATAGTTGAAGCAGTGATAATAATGATGATAAAACAAACATCATCCACCTTCTCCATGATGTGCATAATTTTATAAACTTCTACCGTTGCCTTCTATCAAGATGGCTAGGATGGGGAATACACATCTGGAATGCAACACTTGAATGTTGTTATTATCAGGCACAAAATGGAAGAGAGCTATTCCTAAATCAGTTGTACCCTCTAGTCAAGGAGGCCTATTCATTCAATTTATGAAAGTTGGAAATGCAATCATTGACTCAAACATCACTTGTGAAAACAGTCACAGTGTATCACAACCTAGTCAGTCATGGTAAGTGAAATGAGCCAACTTCCCCTGAGCTATTCTAAAATCAACAAATTACATGGCTGAGAAGGCAACAAAAATACGCCAGTGTGTTTCCATTAGATTCCATATATCTATATTCCATATAGAACTTCCTTCACACAACACAGGATAATCTACATCTTGACAGACTATATCACATCCTAGAGATTACCCAGCCTTTGTGCCTTTTAGTAATTTCGCTTTCCCCAGGCAACTTCCTTCACACAACACAGGATAATCTACATCTTGACAGACTAACCTGTTTCAAAAACTCAGGCAGTCTATTAAAATATCAGACCCTTACAAAGATGACAATGAAATGTCCACACAATAACTTGGTGAGACTAGATGTTATTACACCCATTTTACAGATGGAGAAATTAATCTGGAACCACACCATACATTTAAAGCACTATTCTACCAACTTACACTGCCATGGCTTCCCCACCCCAAAGAATCCTGGGAACTATAGTTTGTTAAGGGTGCTGAGAGCTGTAAGGAGAACCCTAAGCTCAGCAGTTCCCAGAGTTCCCTTGGAAGAAGGATTTATTGTTAACCACTCTGGGAACTGTAGCTCTGTTGGGGGAATAAGGATGTTATAACGATCAGACTACTGGGTGTGTGTCTCACGACAGGTGCAAAAGTCTAATCATAGTCCTCTCCGTACTTTTGCGAGTAACCTTTCACCACGTCTTGCTTTGTAGCTTCCCCTTCTGCCCCCTGCTTTACCTTGAATACCCACTTCCTTGTAATAGTGTGTGTTGCTCCCAAATGCATGTGGGGACATGCAGTAGCCACTGCAGTGTATTTGGAAAGGCCACCATCTCTCAGCATGCACCTTCGTCATCTCCATATGAGAACTGAACTTTCTCTCAGCAGCTGAGTTCTGTTATAGAGTGTCACTAACACTCTTTACACATGTAATCCCTTCCTTTTCTAGGAGGGTTTGAATGTGGTATGTATTAAACTCATCCCTGTGGTCGCTGACGAAAGTTGTGGGTTTCCTCTGAAACTTGTTGCTCTCCATGGCAAGATACTGTACCAGTATTTTCTGAATATCTCCACTGTTTCGTTTTTCTTATTGAGAAAATTCACAGCACAGTATCTTGAGAAATCAAATAGTAAGATTAGAATATACTTCTTTTCTTTAGGGAGGGAACCAATGGCATAGCATTGGGGGGCAGCAGGGCTGTGGCCCCGGGTGCACAATTTTGAGGGGGGATGAACCAGGTGCCTCCACACATGCGCTGGCTTCTGTGTGGATACCCATCCTGCCCAGGAATGACCTGGTGGGCCCCATCCCCAATTCCCTATCCTTCCCTTCTTGCTGCTGGGGGTCTCTGGGCCCCAGTCCCAGCCTGGCCTTGCTGCCATGTCCCCGGCACCCTCGCTGAACGGAGGGAGGCGGGCAAGGGGTGACCCCAGTGTAGGCTGGCGCTTCTCTCCCTGGGTGTTGGGGGGGATTTGCCCGTGAAGGGCCACTTCAACCAACCGGCCTCCCCGCTGTGCAGGTGGGCAGGCGGTGCAGTGTGGCCCCACTTGGCAGGGGGTTGCTCTGATGGTGACTGTGGCAAGGGCTAGGCTGGCCCAGCAGGTGCAGGCATGTCCAGCATGTGTGCACCCCAGGCTCCAGCAAACCACATTATGCTGCTGGAGGGCACTCCCTGGATCCCATACAACACTGTAGACTACATCAAGCACTCTGGTGCTTTTCTGTACACGGAGGAAAAGAACGCATAACACTTTCTTCAGTGATGCAACTTAGAAACTTTATTGTGGCTGGTGAACTCTGGGCTACCTTCACCCCTCTTGCGTTACAATTGTGTTACAATTCCACAATGGCTTTGATCTCTCTGTGTTGCCAAATCTTCTGTGCCAAACTTCTGGATCTGCTTCATACTTCTGCATGAATGTGCCTCATTTGCAGTCTGGGGTTCTGAAAGATTAGTATCATATACACCATCAATCAAACATGCTTCAGCATATAATTCACCATCTCTGGCTGCCCCGTCAACTTTTCCCTTTTCTTGCGAGGAATCCTATTCGGAATAAGGGAATTTCCCTTAAAAAAGGGAAACATTGACAGCTATGATCTCTGGTCACCTGGCATTTTCAAATTGTACAGAGAAAGCTATTCTGTCCAAAATGGACACACTAATCATGTTGCGATTCAACTGTAGGACATACAGAACAGGTTCCATAAGAGACACCCAGTGAAAATGAAACAGTAATAAAGAAATGGCAGCAGCAGAAAAATCTAGCAGTGTCCATCATTCTGGACAATATTTAGATACTCAAATGGTTCACACTAAGACAGGTGAAACAGCTGCAAGTGCTCTCACTGTGCCTGGGTGAGAGATTTATTTAGATTAAAGCTTGAATCCAAAAAGGACTGTAGCAGTCACGTGATAGACTTCCTATCCATTACTGAAAAGCTAGAACATACTTAATACAAACTGGATGATACATTCCATAATTCCCCTAACTAAAAATCCAGCTTCTAAGCACCTTTTCCATTGGTTGAAATTGTTTTCAGTAAGCTTAGGTAAATTGGGGCTTTCCTCTGCAATGGAACCTTTGCTATCCATCTTAAAATAAAAAATGCCAAAAGTCATACAAAGAAATATTTTTCAAAAAGTACACTAGAAAAAATGGAAAAACCATTACAAAATCAAAAAAACAACAACAAAATAAATAGCCTTTCCCCTACATGCTGGGTTGCACAGGAAGGGTTTTTCTTTGGTGCTGTGAGGCTAAGGAAAAAATCTCTCTTTTGCAGTTTAAAACTCAAGCCTCAAAATCCATTCAAAAGCTGAAAAACTATTTAATATATCTGGAAATTATTCCTAAACTGGGCCCATAACCTTATGATGGAATTAGTAAGAGGATATATTAATTATATTCAATCCTGTACAGACCCATGTATGGTTTGTTTCACTCTTCAAGGGGGTAGAGGGTGGTGATCTGCTTCACACAGCTGAACAGTAAAGGTTTAATACCTTTCCCTGTGCTTCATTTATCTGCCCAAGGATGGGACTTAATACACTGTTCCTGGGGCACTGCTGCTCCAGCTGCTGAAAGTAACAGTATCATTAAGGTTTTATGTACCATTTGCTGAAGTGGGACTTGCTTCAGAGTAAACATGCATAGGATCAAACTGTTAGCAATCTTTTAACATTAAAGGGTGCAGGTTAAGTGGAATCCAATCCATGAAAGATTATTTCACATTTATAGCCCTGAGAGGCTCTCAAAAGTGGTTTCTAAAAGAGTCTCAAAATAAAATTGCCCTCAAATATAGTACACTAACAGAAATTACACTGTGTCAAAATGTACCCAATATTATTCAGGCAGCATTTTCAGCAGCTCTACCAAACATCAGCTCTCACCAACCCCAGTTAACTGCCCATGGTGGAAGAAGCCTTCAGGCTTCTCCGGGCAACCTATTCATTGAGTGTCCATCCTGATTTGTGTGCACAAAGCTAATGCAGAGGTTAGATCAGGTCTTTATTCAGCATGAATTCCGATTTGTCTGTGAAGAGGACATGAACATTAATCCTACAACCACCCTAATTTGCTTGCAGGGTATTATGTCTTCCCATTAGTGCACTTTCTAATTTAGATTAAAGCAGCATTTAATTTAGATTAAAGCAGCAATCGGAGGGTGAATTTAACTATCATAATGTGCAACTACAAGTCTGTACAGATACCAGGACAGGCTGTTTGTTGTTGGATAATTTGCTATTTCAGTGTTGTTACTGTAATCTGAATAATAAATGAATATATAATATCTTGCACTGCAGGGGGTTGGGCTAGATGACCCTCGTGGTCCCTTCCCAGTCTGCGATTCTGTAATATAAACAAGAGGCTGGAAGGCCCTCGCTGAAGTCACTCCTGGCGCCCTCCCTTGGCCAGACAATCTAGGAGCAGCGAGGAATGTCCTCCCTCGGCCCCCGTCGCTTCGCCCATAAACTGCGCCAAGCACGCGGATTGGCCTCGCGGGGCCGCCGTCCGCTTCCCTTTCCTCTCCTCCCCGCCCAATCAAGGCGCGCCTCGCAGCCAGGCGCCGCCCCGTCGCTCCCTCGAGGGCCGCCGCCATCCCCCCCCGCCCCCCGCAGGCCGTACGTGGCATCGGGCCGCGTCTCCGACCTATGAGCGAGGGCCCCGTGCGCCGGAAGGGGCGGGGCGTGGGCCGGAAGCTGCCCCTCCGCCGAAGCCCATTTGCTCTGCGGGCTTGGCAGGCGCCGGAGCGCAGCGCGCGAGCCCGTCGGCCCTCTTCCCCCTCCCCTCGCCTGGCCTCGCTCGCTTCCAGCCTCCCCTCGACGCCGCCGCCGCCGCCGCCGCCATGTCGCCGGTGCGGGCGGTGCTGGCGCTGCTGGCCGCGCTCTCGGCCCCGGCGGCCGGCTACTTCGTCAGCATCGACGCGCACGCCGAGGAGTGTTTCCTGGAGCGGGTCCCGTCCGGCACCAAGATGGGCCTCATCTTCGAAGTGGCCGAGGGAGGCTTCCTCGACATCGACGTGGAGGCGAGTCTGGCGCGGGGGGGTCGGCGAGGGAGGGCCGGGAGGGCCGTGCAGGGCGCGGCGAAGAGGGGCCTGGGGGCCTGGGCTCGGTTTGTGCCGGGGCTCAGCCTCGCTGGCATTCTCTCCCGCCCCGCACCCATTAGCACGAGGGGGTTACGCCAGAGGAGGCACAAGCGCCACCTAAGACTCGTTCCGCATTCGTAATTACCTGGCAGCACCAGCACTTGGGAACTCCCTGCCTATTGAGATCAAGCAGGCAACCTCACTGTACTCTTTTGGGCGCCTGCTAAGATCATTTCTGTTTAGGCAACATTTAGGGATTATGGAAATCATAGTGTGAAGGTGTTGCAGTGGGGTACAGGTTCCTCTTGCCTGCTGTTAGAAGAGGACCTGTACAGGGAGGTAAGTTGCAGTCGGCTGCCCTGGGCAGTGTGAGCCATGAGAAGCTGAAGAAGAGGGCTTATGAAAGCCCCCTTCGTGGGGGTTGGAAGTGGCTTGTGTCAGGGTTTACTCTTGCTGGCGTACATAGGGAGCAGCTGCCCCTAAATGATGCTCTCCACATGATCTGTACTATAGCTCCCTGTCTTCCCAAACATTGGCTGTGCTGGCTGAGGCTAACAGGAGTTTTAGTTTGAAACGTCTAGAGGTCAACAGGTTGGGGAAAGTTGAGAGAGAGTATATTTATGTGTCCTTTAATCACGTGCAGACTGCACAGTGAATTCCTCTCACCAGAAGAGTGTTGATGGCTTTGGAGCAGAGGATTGTCAGTCCTTGAATATGTAAAGTGCAGCATATGCTAAAAGAGAAGGCCTGCAGGTTCAGGCCAAAGGGGGCACCAACCCACCACCACGCCCTCATCTCTACCCCCCCCCATCAACAGGGTATTTTTGGAAAGCCCAGCAGAAAGAGCACCCAGAGAGAGAGAGAGAATCAGAATTGTAGAGTTGGAAGAGACCCTTAGGGTCATCTAGTTCAACCCCCAAGGGGTGTGCACAGCTAGGGCTGTTTTAGATCAGAGGGTATAAGTCTGAGATAGCCTTGAGCCTTAAGTGTGCCTGTTTCTGTGTACCTTTTCTCTCTCACACTCCAGGGTTTAAACATCAAATGTGGAGGTGAGCTCTGTTGAATGGAGGGAGGGGGTAGTGGACAGCTTGGAAAGGGAGGGCCTGGGTGTCTTTCTCTTAATGTTATTGTTTTGTTTATTATACTCTTGAAGTGCTTTTCCAACTTAGAATTGGACACAGAAAATGTAAAAGGCTGAAAATCCAGAGTTGAATCCCTGTAGTCATAGAGGCTTGATGGAAATCAGCAAAATGCCTTGCTGTATTTGGAATGGGAGGGGTTTTCAGCTAGAGGGAGAGACTGAGGCAGAACAATGGAGGATTTTAGAGTACTGTGTGAATGAAGTTAAGAACGGACCTCCGGAACGAATTAAGTTCTTAACCCAAGGTACCACTGTACTGTACAGTGGTACCTGGATTAATTACTTAATTCGTTCCGGAGGTCTGTTCTTAACCTGAAACTGTTCTTAACCTGAAGCACAATTTCTCCTTTTCATCCTGAAGCAAAGTTCTTAACCCGAGGTACTATTTCTGGGTTAGTGGAGTCTGTAACCTGAAGCGTATGTAACCCAAGGTACCACTGTATTCCATCAGGTTAAATTACACAATGCTCCCCGACTTTTGTTCGTGCCGGTGTAGTTGCAGAAAGCAGCTCAGACAGGCACACTGGCCCTCAGATGCCTTGTTTTTGAAACCCTCCCCATCATTCTAAACACAGTTTGCTCCCCCCCCTTTGCATTCTTAAAAAAATTCCACATTGGTGGAGCAATAGGTGCACTGATAAACTCGTGTAGCTGTGTGAATCAGTAGAATGGACAAGGTTGCTGCAGTTGGGGTTTTCATGTTTGCAAGCTTCCCTATCTTTTAGTTTAGTTTAAAGGAAATTAGCACAGTAGTGAGTAGGTTGGGCTAAAGGTTTAATTCCTGTTGTGTTAGTTTTAATTTGCTGGGGGGTGTTTTTTTAATAAAAATATTTATTGTTTTCATTTATAAAACAAAAATGAACCCTCACCCCCCTGCTGCCCCGAGTACAGTTTATGATAAGCAAAACAATAGAGGAGGGAGTGTGCGTATTTTAATGTGGAGGAACATTTTAAAATGGCATCACTCACCCACAGCCAGAAGTGGCATAGTTTGTTCTCCCTCCTTTTTCCTCTGCTACATGAGTAGATAAGATCTGTTGCTCATGTGGTGAAGCAAGCTCAGAGTCAAGGATAGAGGGAACATGATGCAATGCCCTGGGTAAGAAAGGCCTGGAGAGAAATGCTTCTCTGGTGCCTACTGCAGGGTGCTTCATCAAGCACAGGTAAGACCCTTGTGTTCAGTGCTACAGGTTGCACAACAACTGCACGTGAGATGTAGAGCAAATAAATAAAAATTAAACATTGGTTGGAAGTTAAAATTGATGTCAGCTGAGGCAGCAACAAATGCTCGATTTGCCCTTGTGGTTTGTCACTTCATTTGTACGATATGTCAGCCAATTACTCCCCAAGGCTTATGTAATTTATTGATGGGAATGATGCATAAGGTGGTAAAAAGTAAAGGTTTTCCTTCTCGTTTCCAGATAATGGGGCCTGATAACAAAGTCATCTACAAAGGAGACAGAGAGTCCAATGGGAAATACACCTTTGCTGCTCACATGGATGGAACATACAAGTTTTGCTTCAGCAACAAAATGTCCACCATGACTCCAAAGATAGTGATGTTCACTATTGACATTGGTGAAGCTCCAAAGGGGCAAGATATGGAGACAGAAGGTGAGGGCGAATCCCGGAAACAAAATGGCACCTTTCACCCATGTTCTTCTCCTATATGTTATTGTCCTTCCCCTGCGTCTCTGTTTTCCAGATATTGTTCTATGGGCTTCAGAATTCCAGACACATTCTCTCCTGGATTTAAATGCTTCATAATATAACTTATTAGCTCTTTTTGCTATGTGATTGACATGGAAATATAAGGAAATATAAGGGGTATTTAATTAAATGATCTCTTTCCGCCCCATCAATTTGAAAAAGAAATATGAGTAATCTTGTGGCTTGAAGTCCCTAAAAGGGGATGTCTTAGAATTGTACATAATTCTTCAGCTTTCTGCAGAGCAGCGCTCTAAAGACTGGTTGGTGCCAGAACATTTGAGTCAGGTAGCTGGTAGCTTTTCTCCCACCTCTCACTGTGGTTTCTTCATACCTCTCTCCCTGTGACATTTGCAGCCTTACCCTCATTTCGCCCATCATGTGTTTTGATGTATTTACCTTTGCTTACTACACTTCCTCAGCATCTTCCTGCATATTTGTTCATTTCTCATGCTTTTTTTTAGGTGGTGGAGATAACTGGGATGGTATGTGCAATGCTTTTAAGAAGCTTGCCAGTCCCCCTGCATCGCTTCTCATAATCTGCTACATAATCTGCTAATGCCTATTGGGGCCATTCTTTGTGTGACTCCCTTCTAATATGCAATGATTACCACAACGGTATTGCACTCAGGTCTGAGTGTGAACAGTTCCTGCCACTTTGAAGTCCTTCAACCATTAAGATCCAAATTGCTACTGTAGGCTTTTTTCTCTTTCCTATCCCCATTCCCTATCTGAACAGCAGTCTTCTCTAATACCAAATCTTGAACTGCTTTTAAAACTGGTTTCTCATTCAGTTGTGGAGGATTCTGTTTGAGAAATGCAAGTATAAACACTCAGACCAAGTTGCATGGTTTGGATCATGACCATGGTTCTCAGCTGTGAGGTAGGCTGGCCTAAGGAGGTGTGGCTAATTGTCAGGAAAGGTGCACACTCCTATACTTTTTCTCTCTTCTGCCCTCACATCCTGTTATTTTGTATGCCTCTTGAGGAGGCCCATTGACCCTTCACCCCAGCTTTAAAAATTCATAGTTTCCTCCTTGTCCTTCATGCCATTACTGGTCTCCTGCTGCCAGTGTTAAGGACAAAAACTGCAAGGGTGGATATTGGCTGGGCCTCTCATCGTCGTAAGTATCCATCACCCAGATCAAGCAGGATGTTGGACTAAGTGACCTAAAGACCCCTTCCAGTTTTCTGGTCCTTTTGTGCTGTCCCAGCTACTACTACCAGTAGCCTGAGTATCCACACACAAAACTCTTGACAGATTGAAATCGTTTTGAGAGGGAGATCGTTGTCTGAAGACCACCACTTAACACGCATGTGTGGGTGTTGGCATGTTTAAAAGTGTGCATAAGAGTGGTCTTACTAATAGGGCACCCATATTGCATTACTTGTGTGATTTGCCTTGGACCTGAAGGTCTTGATGTAAAGTTTGAGGATTTCCTTTGTATTTCCCATTGTTCTTCTCTCACTTTATACCAGTTTATCCCTCTAGAAAGAATTCTGCCTTTTTGTGCTAACTAAACACCATGAAGGCAAAGTAATTCATGCCAGTATTTCTCAAAGTGGGTCAACTAAGCCGCTAGGTGTGAGAAGAGTGTATTTCTGTGTGAGCGAGAGGGAGGGAAGGTCTCTCTGTAAAAGTTTTTCACTCCCTAACAGAGATTCTGTTTGAATGGGATTCTACAAAACTACAAAGTCACCAGGTACTGTACTTCTGTTCAAGGTTGTTGGCTTGCTCATTGAAATCTCTGCACCTGTCCTAGTCTCAATCCCAGCATTAAGCTTCTGTGAAATAGCGTAGTTTTGTAAGTTTGCTTTCCAGGCGTAGTTTGCATGAGACCCCCACCTTGCTGAAGCTAAGGAGATCTGGGTCTGGTCAGTGGCTTGTTGGGAAAAGAGCAGGATATAAATGTAGTAGGTTTCAAGTAGAAACTGCTTTTCATTCCCTTGTCATACTTTATCAGGCAATGCCTGCTTGGTAAATGGTTCTTTCAATGATCAAATAAATGATTAGGTCCTTGATTCGAGGTGCCTCTTCTGCAGTTTGCCAGGAGGGGTGGTGGTCACATAACGTTGCCTCAACTCCCTGGCCATAAAGGGACCCAGCCGTAGATGAAGGGAATTGCTTTAAGGCTGAGATTAGGTGAGAGGAGGCCACACCGGGTCCCAAGCAGCTGTCAGAACAGGGATCAGAGATAACAGGTGTCGCTGGAGCAGTGGTGATACAGCAGAGCCGCTCTTCAAAGGGACATGCTGCTGAGCAAGACCCCTTTCTGCATTTTGGGGGGGGGTACGGGGGGTTACTGGGAATAGACTCCGTATGCGCACACACACACACCCTAGGTTTTGAATCAGCACACAGAAATATAGAAGACCAGCTTTCTGATAAGTTCTCTGGAGTAGAAGAGAGTAGACTACAAATATGTTTTGAATTTATATGCTGCTAAGAGCATTGCATCAAATGGAAAACACATGACTTAAATAAAACCCGTTAGTAAAACAAAAATCATCACCCTAAAAACACAGCAATTAAAAGGGCAACCCTAACCATGTCTATTCAGAAGTAAGTCCTATTGAATTTAATGGGTCGTCTTATACCTAGGATTGCAGCCTGACAGCCAGTTCAGTAGAATAGTGGAAGGGGACTTTTACCCCCTCCAAGCCCCAGAGAAGAAGAGATTAGGAAGAAAAGACCAAGCAGTAAACCCCACAGAAATCTGGAGTGGAGTCCCTAAGATGGTTGGTGGCACTTTGTACGCCTCTTTATGGCAGCTCCTGCAGCCAAGCTGGTGCCAGACATCTTGTTTTGTTTTCCTTTGGACCACATCAGCAAGACTGAGAGAGGGTCTTGTAATCTGGGCAGCCCAGGCCCTCCATGTATACCACGCAGGCTTCTGCCCTGGAGAAGTCACTTCAGTGCTGCTAACGCAGCAGTTTGCCTTCACCCCCGAAGGTGCACTCCATTGTCTCTTGAGAGAGACAGGCAGATGCCAACCAACCACAGAATATGTTAGTGCAGCCATATGTGACTTATAGAACAGAACTCTGTATGTATAACAAAGTTATTTACCTTGGTTATTTAAAGCATCTTAGTTGTAATGCTATGAAAGCAGTACTTGCCCGAGGTATGGATGTTGGAATGAATACCCAGGTAAAGGGAATTTTTGTGCCTGGTTAAAAAACATCAACCCTTCCCCAAGATGTGCAGTGGTTGGCTGTGAAGACTTTGGTCTTATATGCCACTGTTGCTGGGTTTCGTTGCTTACATCACAAATCTGATGTCTTGTGATCCATCTGCAGCTCATCAGAACAAGCTAGAAGAGATGATTAATGAATTAGCGGTGGCCATGACCGCTGTCAAGCATGAACAGGAATACATGGAAGTCCGTGAAAGGATACACCGAGCAAGTAAGTGGTTTTGGTTGGCATGTGCAGGTTTCCTGCATCGCCATCCAGCAAAGCCTTCCATTCCTTGTGGCATGGGAATTTAGTGGGCTAGTGGAAGGGTAGCAGATTGCTGCCTCTCCTTTGTCAATCTGCACTTGGTAGAAAGCTGCTCTCTAGAAAATTATCCAAGGGGCTTTAGCAGCCTGTGCTTCTATGCATGTCCTGAAGGAGGCGGCTTCCCCTCCACACCCACAATAGAACTGCAGGCTATAAGAGTTACTATCATCATCATCAAACCTTTTATTGGCATCACATCCAAACATCCAAAACAAATCACTACAGAATTACCACTTCCCCAGTGGCACAAAACATTTGCTAAAAGAAAGGAGGCAGAGCAGTCTGTTGTCACATCTCTAGGTCTCCAGGGAGATTAGGCGTCTGCAGTGTATTTTGACAACAAAAAACCAAATAGAGATATTTAGCCACTAACTTGGTGAGCTCCTGATCATTCCCCAGTAATAGAAAATGTATGACCTCCAACTCTGGTTTCCCTTTGGGGATGCAGAGTTGATCTAGAAATTGCTGGTGGAGATCAGCATATAGTTTACAATTAAGAACCATATGTGTAAGGGTTTCCACCAGGTGGTCTTCACATGGGCAAGTTCTTTCTCCTTCCACCCTGCCTGAGAACCTTCCCCAAATAAGAGTTACTAGCTTCCTATCTACACAGCTGATTTATATGGTGCATCAAAGTGCTTCATGCACATTATCACTTAATAAGCCCCAACTTGAATACATTTGGGAAGGCCAAGGTAGTGACTTGTCTCCCTGTTCCCCACCACAGAAATCCGGAGAATCAAAAATGTATTTAAAGGAACACTAAAGACTTGAGTTCTTTGGCAGACTTTTAACAACTCCTGCAATGTGATAGAGACTTTGGATACTTTGGAGGACTTCAATGTGGGGAAATTATCGTACGCAGTTGACTTAGATATACTAAGGACCCACAGAGGGGAGGAGGGAAGTCCTAAGATTCAGAAGAATCTTGTTTAATTTCTGAATATTAATGTGTTAAGCTTGAGATTTATTTTGTAAAACAAATAAACATCATTTTTTAAAGTTCATGGACGAGAGATATTTAAATCAATTAAATTTATTAATTGTACCTTAGTAGTCTCTTAGACACTGCTTCCACTAACTTTCTTCATGCTGCTTCTTAAATGCTGGCATGTTTTTAGGAAAGAGAAAACTTGAAACCTTTTTTGAGAATTCTGTAAAACAAATTGCATAAAACATGGTTGTACTCCCAGGGCACATTTGGGTGTTATTACTTCCTTTGCATCAATAATTATTTCCCCCTGTTTTGCATCACTTAACACTGTTTTTCCTATGTAAGGGCGAGTATCATTCTCAAAGCAGCACTGTAGAAAATGACAACGTATTTACCAAGAACTATGCACTCAAAATGAAGTAGCCAGCCATATTGGAGAAGGAGCTGGCACCTGATGTTGCAACACTAATCAACAGAAGCAAAGGCCCATAATTTTCATGATTTAATATGTGTTTATTAGCATCTTGTAGAAAGGCAAGGAAGTTTGGGCCACTCATATCTCTGGGAATGTTCCATGGCCTGAGTGCCCAGAAGGCCTAACCTTCTGTACCTGTCTGCTGTACCTCATCTGGCAGGTTGGAAACACAGAACAGGGTTTCAGCTGATGATCCGCGCATGCAGGGTGGGTTTGCATGGGAGGAGGTGATGCTTTGTTTCTCTAGGCTTCAGTGTGTTTAGCTTCTTTTCATTCCTGTATATTAATCAAGTGTGTTTTTTCCTCCTTTTTTTCACTAGTTAACGACAACACAAATAGCAGAGTGGTCCTCTGGTCATTCTTTGAAGCTCTTGTACTAGTTGCCATGACACTGGGACAAATCTACTATCTGAAGAGGTTTTTTGAAGTCCGGAGAGTTGTTTAATCAAACTTTCCCCCCTTGGCCTCTCTCTCCAGTGATCCCAGATTCTCCATTCACTTCTACAAAACAACTTGGTCACAAAATTCACTTAGTTTTCTTTATCCCTATGTTCTGAACTATAAAACTTGTGTTTTCAGTTTTCTTCTTAGCTTAATTTTATATATCTATGTATCTATAGATACCCTCTCTAGGGAAACATGAGCTGAGAGTCGTACATTGAAATTGGTAAACTTTGTTTCTCACAAGCCAAAGTGAGTTCAACGAAATTGCAAAAGTTTGTTTTTAAACCAGCGCTATTGATCAAGTGAAAATTTTCCTTGATTGTTTTCTGTCTCCCTTTTTTTTGGTAATAGAATACTGTTTTCGTGTAAGGGAAATGGCACAAGGTCCTAAAACACCTTTTAAATGCCTGTGGGGGAGACACTTTTTAATTTGATCAGAGGATTTCCTCTCCGCTTTACCCAGGGGTGGAATTGTGGCATGCGGACAAGCCTGGCAGTACTGTCAAGAAAGCATGCCAAGAAAGAAATGGGCATGTTGGTGTTCAAACATACTGAAACCAGTGGATCGCCCTACTAAGGAGTGCTTAGGTGGCTTCTGTAAAGTCTCCTGTACTCCTTCTGTAATTACACTGGCTTGGTCCTGAGGTTCTTAATTAAAGATATGAAAATACAACACAGTTCTTGCCAGTTAACCATGTGTTCTTGTGTGCAAATTTATGAACAGGCAGCCATTTAGGGGGGACTTAGCTACATCTTTTCCTTTTTGCTTACAATCCAAAGCTGCTCCTGTGTTTGGCACTGTTGTAGAACTAGTATTCAGGATGTTGGTTCCTGATGCCAAAGGGTTTTAACAGTGGTGATGGGCGGGCTGGGAGGCGGTGGAAGGGAGGTTATTACCGTGCTACACATCCGATACATGAAAGAAGAAGCGGCTATGCTGCTGTGTGGTCACAACACCACTCGGATTGCAATCCCCTTTCCTATAACGAAGACTCCTGTGCCTTTTATGTAGCGGGGAGAAATGAAACGGGTGCGGTTTCCCTCCTGCAAGTGCATCTTCCCAAGAGGCTTTTGGGCATTTAATAGCAGCACATAGAAATTTAGCAGGTGCAGCTCCTGTTAACTGCAGCTCCATGATAAAGTGTACCTGTTGAGGTTTTCCTTTTTTGCACTGCTGTTAAAGGAACAGGGGCCTCACTCAGGAAAGGAGTTGGCACTCCCAGTTAGGCTGTATTGAAATCATTTTGTTCATTTTCCTCTCTTTTAAACACACACCAACTTCAGTTTTTGTACCAGCTATTTTTCTTCTTGCTGTCTGGATGATGGGTTTAAAAATCACCATGTCTGTCTCTGGGAGCGGGGTGCTGATCCAAGATTATGTTGTGGCTGATGTATATTGAACTGATGTATATTGGTTGTAATTTTGGGGGTGGGTGGGGTTGGGTTCTTTTCAAGAGTGGGGGAAGCATTCTATCGGTAATGCATAAGAGTTTTGTACCAAATTTAATTTAATTAAAATTTGTTACAAGTTTTCATGGTTCAAGTAAATCTTTTCAGCCTCAGCTAGACACTTAGCAGCTGTCCTTCAAAGGGGTGGCTCTCCCCCCCCCCCAGTGCAGCTGTCATATGCCAACCCTTGTGTGAGACAAGTTGCATTCTAATGAGAAGATGTACATTTAAAAGTTCTTGATATATGGCCAGATTCGATAAATAAAACACCTTCTTTAAAAAAACAAACCTAGAGCCTGATGCTTGCTTTGCGTCTTTAAGGAGCAATTCTACTCTTTATTCCTTTGTTTTACTGTTTGTTAGCAGCTGCATGTTAAGAGCTTTGTGGGATTATGATAAAAAGCTTACCCAATAACTTCTCGTTTAAAGTATTTCCATTCCCAGAGAATTTAACATCATCTGATGCTTTTTAAGTCTCCCGCTGCAATTTTTATTTATGAGAGAATTTAATCCGTTTTCCATTACTTTCTATGGGAAAGCATGCCTTGGTTTAAGACCACTTTGGTTTAAGACCGGACTCCAGAACGGATTAACCAAGGTACCACTGTAAGGCATTATTTAATGGTACTAAGAGCCATTATAAAATTGGTGAATTAATTGAAAGGTAACAAATTGCTTAGAAACATAAAGAGTAGCTTCCTATTAAAAAGGTCAGTCTGTTGACGCTTATATAGTGGGACCTTGGTTTAAGAACAGCTTTGTTTATGAACAACTTGGATTAAGAACGCTGCAAACCCGGAAGTAGGTGTTTTGGTTTGTGAACTTTGCCTTGCATGCAGAACATGTTTCGCTTCCTGTTGAGTGTGTTCCATTTGTAAATTGAGTCCCCTGCTGCTATGGGAAGGCACTTCTTGGTTTAAGAATGCTTTGGTTTAAGAACAGACTTCTGGAACGGATTAAATTCGAAAACCAAGGTACAACTGTATATTGAAATAAGTGTGTTGAATCAAAAGTCTTAACAAAACATCCTTAAACAATGAAAAGGCAACAATCATTTCATTTTCTATACCCTTTCTTTTACACTTGGCCAGGACAATAGGGGGTGCTCAACTTGGCTGGGAAACAGGAACATGTATATATTTTCCTTTGTTTTACTTAATGTAAGGTGGAGGTCAAGGGTGGGACAGGGACAAACCTGATACTCAGGTTTCCACCAGAAAAACCTCCCAGTTTGTGACACAAATGAGAAGAAGAGAAAGGGATGCTACTTACAGCCTGCAAAAAGCATATACCTGCTTGTTTCCAAAGGAGTCGACTGCAAAAAGCATATACCTGCTTGTTTCCAAAGGAGTGCTAAAATAAATTAACAAGTCCTCAAAGGCAGGCCTGTTCCAGTCCCCACCTCAGATACAGTGGTGCCTCGCAAGACGAAATTAATTCGTTCTGCGAGTTTTTTCGTCTTGTGAATTTTTTGTCTTGCGAAGCAATGCACCCTGGGTATTAACGGTTTTAAGAAAAAGGAAACAAACTTGCAAGACGTTTTCGTCTTGCGTAGCAAGCCCATAGGGAAATTCATCTTGCGAAGCAACTCAAAAAACCAAAAACCCTTTCGTCTTGCAAGTTTTTCGTCTTGCGAGGCATTCGTCTTGCAAGGTACCACTGTAGTCTCAAAGGGCAAGGAAGCCAGCGCAAATTTATCAGCAATTTCAGCAGACGTTGTGTCTAAAGAGTGCAGCAGCTACCTTTGGGCTGACCAAAATTCTGGCACCTTGGCTGAGTGTCCTGGAGCATGCACAGAAATCCTTGACCTCCAAGGGGGATGTAGCATTTCAAAGACCGCAGGGCAAATGTGCTCCTGAGCATATGCAGAATCCTTTTCCTCTGGTGAGATGTGGGGAATCTTTGGCCACCCCAGCTCTTGCTAGACTGCAACTCCTGTCAACTCCAGCAAGCAGGAGTGCAGCAACATCTGGAGGGCTAGAGGTTCCCCACACCTGAGCTAGAGACTCTGCAGGTATCTGTGGATTCTGGAGTCCCAGAATTCACCTTAGGTATATTTTTTCATGGATGTTAGTGACTTCACCTGCCTGATGCTGCATCGGAGGTGACCTAGGATGAGATGGCTGGCAGGAACTCATGCTATGGCTTGGCTGAATTGCTTGCACAGTAAACAGGAGGCGAGTACTCAGTGTGTAATCTTATCACAGTGAAGAACGGGAGCAACTTCCCCAGATCTCTTGCTAAGCAGCAAAACTCTGTATTGCTGGGTCTGCCTGTTGGCAAATATCACAATGGTACAAAATAACTCACCAAGCTGACATTTATCAAGAGTTAAACAAAGGTTAGTATACTAAATATTATTTCCAATTCTAGGTAGTTTGCTATTGGAGAAATACCATATATGATTATAAAAATCTAAAGCAAAAATTATTTTAAAATATGATTTCATTTCTAGATCAGACAGACAAGATTTCTTCTACTATATATTTCTTTCTTTATCATATACACACAAAGCTTCTATTTTTAAACAGGAAATATTTTTGTAACCTAAGGTCTATTATACAAATCCATACAAATGTTCATTTTGTTACAGTTCTGTTAAGTTGTATACAAATTACAAAGATTCCAAGTTTTTTAATGTTCTGCCATGAGTCTATCATTTACTAAATTCGCGGGTGTTGCCATTACTGCATATTCTGATAGTTTCTCTTTCCATGCATCTATGCCAGGACATATGTTAGCCAACACCACTCTGACTGCTGTGGTCATATAACTAAATAGTTCCACTGACGATTTCACAATACAGTAGCTGAAGGAGTCATTCCCAATGACATGGTTTTGGGGTCCAATGCAAATTTAGTTGTTGTTTTTTTTACATTTTTTCATTTCGAAATGAACTTTCCTCCAAAACTTTTTGGTCTTTTCACAGCCATTCGTACTTCTGGCTCTGTTCTGGTCTCTGAATGGAAGCAGGGTTCGTATCCCACTGCTGACACCCGTGTCCCTGAGATGCGGATTCCAGATTTTGGCAGGAATGGGTAACTCAGCAGCATTTTAAAGGAAACAAACTGTGATCCCGCGGAGCTGTTCTCGCAAGGGAGTCGCCTGCGCCCCGCGCCCCGCTCAGCGCTGAGGCGGAACTAAAGTCCCGCAGTTCTGTTTCCCGGAACGGCCGCTTAAGGCGGAGGACGCCTGCCCCGTGGGGGACCGCAGGAAGGGCGGACGCGGATTGGCCGCCGCGGGGACGGGGGAGCTGCGCGCCCGGGAGCATGGAGACGGTGACCGAGGGAACGTGGGACTCGCTGCCCGTCCGGCTGAGCCCTGGCGTGGGACGGGCCTTGAGGGAGCTGGGCTTCACGCACATGACGCCGGTGCAGGTAGGCAGCGGGGACCGGGAAAGGGAGCCGGCTCTGATCTCCCTCCTCGGGAAGCGGGTGGACTAGATGACTCCCCGGGCCCCTTCCAGCGCCACACTTCTGTGATTCTTTCCCTAAAAGAGATGAGAGCCAGCATGCTTGTGAGCGCTGTATATATGCATATGTGTGTTTATCTAGGTATTTAGATACAGATAGGTAGCCGTGTTGGTCTGCCATAGTCAAAACAAAAAAAATTCCTTCCAGTAGCACCTTAAAGACCAACTAAGTTAGTTCTTGGTATGAGCTTTCGTGTGCATGCACACTTCTTCAGATACACGAAAGCTCATACCAAGAACTAACTTAGTTGGTCTTTAAGGTGCTACTGGAAGGAATTTTTTTTGTTTTAGGTGTTTAGATGTATATGTGTAATGCAAAGCCTTCAACCCAAATGAGCCTGGATTTTTGCACAAAACCCCCTCTAGGGTTTTAATCGTCTTTGGCATGTATTGCTCTTGTTACTGGTGTGTCCCCCCCCCTTTAAATCATGGCTCTTGGATGGAATATTAATTATGTTGCATCCTGGCTTGAAGATGGTTGTGGAAAAGTGTGAGTTAGAAATACAGTGGTACCTTAGCTTCAGGTTACAGACACTTCAGGTTACAGACTGCGCTGACCAAGAAATAGTAGCTTGGGTTAAGAACTTTGCTTCAGGATGAGAACAGAAATTGCGCACCAGCGGTGAAGCGGCAGCAGGAGGCCCCATTAGCTAAAGTGGTGCTTCAGGTTAAGAACAGTTTCAAGTTAAGAACGGACCTCCGGAACGAATTAAGTACGTAACCAGAGGTACCACTGTAAGTAAGTTCTGCTTTCAGAGTAGTTGATTGTGTACCTTTGCAGTCCTATGCCTATTTACTCAAAAGTAAGTATGCTTGACTTCTGGCAAGGCAAGATGGCAAGCGCCATGGCCGCACCAAGCTCATGGGGACCGCCAGCACCAACAGGGCTCTCTAGCTGGTCCCCACACTGCCAACGCTGCCACCACAAGCAGGGGAGAGCCAGGGGTGCCCAACACGAAGACCGAGAGGGCTGTGCCTCGTACATAAGCACCATGAAATCACATTGTCTTCCTACAAGAAATACACCAGGGGTCAGCAAACGACTCGCTAGAAATCAACAAAACAGTGATCAACATTCTAGACCAGGGGTCAGCAAACTTTTTCAGGGGGGGGGCTGGTCCACTGTCCCTCAGACCTTCAGACTATATTTTTTTTGGGGGGGGGGATGAACAAATTCCTATGCCTCACAAATAACCCAGAGATGCATTTTAAATAAAAGGACACATTTAGAAGGTGATTGGGCCGGATCCGGCACCCGGGCCTTAGTTTGTCTATCCATGTTCTATACTCAAAACAACGCTTCTACGAGTGTGGAGGGGAAGACTCCAGACTATTAGCAAACAGGTGTAGGAAACAATCGCTCAAAACAAGAATACAAATACTGTTTGGCACTGAAAATACAGCTTAGTAGGTGCCAAATAAGCTTCTGTTGTGATAGAGTTCCACGAATGGCATCGCAAGTGAGAAGGACCTCTTCCCAGTCACAATGTGCCTCAACTCTGATGGTGGAGCCATACAGCAAGGATTTTGGTGCAGCTTTAGCCAGGTTGCAGAATCTGGCTGAAATTAAGGGGTTGCTAGCTGCAATTATTATGTAATATGAAAAGAAAGCTTAAAAAATTAACTAAAATTAAGGGAAGGATTTGTTGAAGAGAATTAATTAGAGAATGGAATGCAGTAAGGAGAGGTATGAGGAGGTCGGGAAAGTAATTTTCACGAATATAAGGGAATGAAGTTATACATGTGGTTTTTGTTTGTTTTCTGATTTTTTGTATGTATTTTTGATTTTCTTTTTTCTGTCTTTTTTGTGTGATTTTTATGTTTTATAAAACTTGTGAAAATGCTAATAAATATCTTATAAAAAAAGAAGAAGCTTTAGCCAGGTTGCATATGGGCAGGACTGCAGTGGTCTCCCATTCATCCGGGTGCTGATCAGGTCCACCCCACACAGCTTTACCAGTACTATGGCTCCCATACAAAGTAACGCTTTCAGAGCAGCCCCCATAGTGGTTAGAGTGTTGGACTAGAATCTTGGAGACAGGGTTCAACTCCCCACTCAGGCATGAAGCCCACTGAGTGGTCCGGGGCCAGTCACTGTCTCTTAGCCTAACCTACCTGTCAAGAGTTGTTGTGAGGATAAAATTGAGAGGGGGAGAACTTTGAGCTCCTTGGAGGAAAAGTGGCATATTTCTTCTTTCTTTATTAATTAAGTTAATATCCTGTCCTTCCTCCCAAAGAACTCCAGGTCGGCAAACAACAAGAGATAAAACAAAGAAACATCTTAAAAACAATTCCAGTACAGTGGTACCTCTGGTTACGTACTTAATTCGTTCCAAAGGTCCGTTCTTAACCTGAAACTGTTCTTAACCTGAAGCACCATTTGAGCTAATGGGGCCTCCCGCTGCAGCTGCTCCGCTTGAGCACGATTTCTGTCCTCATCCTGAAGCAAAGCTCTTAACCTAAGGTACTATTTCTGGGTTAGCGGAGTCTGTAACCTGAAGTGTCTGTAACCCGAGGTACCACTGTACAGATGCAGACTGGGAAAGCGTAAAAGGCTTGTGGAAAGAGGAAGGTCTTCAATAGGCACCAAAAAGGCAGCAGAGAAAGTGCCAATGTAATGTATCTTAAAAATTGTTGTAAAATTGAGGAGTGTTAAGATGTTAAGGAATTAAGAAATAGAGAATTGCAGCTGAAATTAAATAAGTTAAAGAAAAAAGAATCTAATGAAAGTGATTGAAATAATTAATTAATTGGAGGAGTTGCTGAAGAAATGTAAAACAAGGATGCAGAAAAGGGGAGGTATGGGGAAGTCCGGGAAGTAAGGTGTATGAAAATAAGACTATGAAATTGTACATGTTTATATGTTTGTATGTTTTTGTTTTGTGTATGGTTTGTTTTTATTATGTGTTTGGAAAATCAATAAAAATTTATTTAAAAAAAGAAAGTGCCAATGTAATAAATTTATGTAATAAATAAAATAAAAGACTAAGGTTCCAGCAGCAGCATCTGCTTTACATCACCTGCTTTAATAGAAAGATCATTTCCCCAATATTCCCTTTGCCTGCAGTTCTCTTTAAAACAAGGTTTGGGGGTTTGTGACTCTTTGTAAGTTGTTGGATCTGCCGAAATAGCTCAGTTGGGAGAGCGTTAGACTGAAGATCTAAAGGTCCCTGGTTCGATCCCGGGTTTCGGCAGACCTTGCTTTTAAGGGACGCGGGTGGCGCTGTGGGTAAAAGCCTCAGCGCCTAGGGCTTGCTGATCGAAAGGTCGGCGGTTCGAATCCCCGTGGCGGGGTGCGCTCCCGTTGCTCGGTCCCAGCGCCTGCCAACCTAGCAGTTCGAAAGCACCCCTGGGTGCAAGTAGATAAATAGGGACCACTTACTAGCGGGAAGGTAAACGGCGTTTCCGTGTGCGGCTCTGGCTCGCCAGAGCAGCGATGTCACGCTGGCCACGTGACCCGGAAGTGTCTCTGGAAAGCGCTGGCCCCCGGCCTCTAGAGTGAGATGGGCGCACAACCCCAGAGTCTGTCAAGACTGGCCCGTACGGGCAGGGGTACCTTTACCTTTACCTATAAGTTGTTGGACTGCAACTTCCGTCATCCCTGCCCTTCGTCACGGCTAGCTGAGGCTGACGGGAATTGGTGTCCAACAACATTGGCAGGTCACAGGTTCCCTATCCTGTCACTTAGCATTGCCCCATAATTTCTTTTTCTGGTTTTTGTTTGATATTTTAGTTATGTTGACCGTTTTTCGAAATGTATTATAGGTTTTTATGTGAATACCTTGATTTCTTGATGGGCATTGGAATGTGGATTGTTACATATTTTAATACTGTTGGAATGCTTGGATTAGTTAGCCATCTTGAGTTCCTTTTGAAAATTACACAGGGACTAAGTTTTTAAAATGAAATAATAATCCTTTTTTTACACTTTTGCCTCTCTTCTAGTCTGCAACGATTCCTTTGTTTATGACAAATAAGGATGTGGCAGCTGAGGCGGTAAGTGTCTTGCTGCTCAACTTCCCTGTGACTTTTGGCCTTTTGCTGAAAGAACTATTTTTGATGTCTCTTGTTTTCATGTCTGCAGGTAACTGGCAGTGGCAAAACTTTAGCTTTTGTTATTCCAATCATAGAAATTCTTCTCCGACGGGAAGAAAAGCTCAAGAAAATGCAGGTAAAATGTCACTGTACTTTTCTGCCCTGCTTTTAAAAAATAGGAAGATTGGGAGAATAGTTTTGAGCAATTGGTTCCCAGGAGCCAAAGGTCTTTTAGGCTGGTGCCTAAGAACATTGATATTTAATTTCTGTTTTCTTCAGAGGGCTAGTGAAAAAGACTTGTCAATTAGCTTATTTCCAGTGTTCTAAAGGCTTATTTATATATTTAATTTATATACCGCCCTATACCCAGAGGTCTCAAGGCGGTTCACAGTTGTAGATGGTTTACCTACATCTGACCTAAGAGTGGTTTTCTTACCTAGTGCATTCCACTGCGAACCATAATTTGCACTCTTAGGGCAGAGGAAGACTGAAATAACGAGACTGAAAGTGCTGTGATCTCTGAGGTTTCTCTTCAGCGAACATGTGACTGTAGCATAGCAGCAGTTCAAAAGCTACAATGTTGGAGTCACTTGACTGGCTATTCCATCACTGCCATTTCTTCTTGGGAATCAAGGTGTGTTGAAGCCATTTGTCTGAGATGAAAGGAGGCTGTGGCTGTGGAGTGCTTTAATTTCTGGCAGGAGCAGGTAAGCAAGTCACCGTGCGCAATTCCTTGAGGGAGGAGTCATAGCTCAGTGGTAGGGCATCTGCTTTGTATGCAAAAGGATCCGGGTTCAAATCCCCAAACCCTGGAGAGCCACTGCCAGTCAGTGTAGTCAGTATAGATCAAGCCAATCTGCTGGCCTCTAGATGTTGTTACACCTTGGTTCCCATTAGCCTCAGCCAGCACGGCCAATGGTCAGAGGTATGATGGGAGTTGAGGTCACCCATGAGATTGGCTACCTGTGGTGTGGACCATACTGAGTTGGGTGGACTAAGGGTCGGATCAAAATGAAGCAGCTTCTTAACTTCATATGTTTAGCATGGTAAAAAGGAGACAGAGGAGATATGCTCTGCTCTGGTCAGACCTCACCTGGAGTACTGTGTCCAGTTCTGGGCACCACAGTTCAAGAAGGACACTGACAAACTGGAACGTGTCCAGAGGAGGGCAACCAAAATGGTCAAAGGCCTGGAAACGATGCCTTATGAGGAACGGCTAAGGGAGCTGGGCATGTTTAGCCTGGAGAAGAGGAGGTTAAGGGGTGATATGATAGCCATGTTCAAATATATAAAAGGATGTCACATAGAGGAGGGAGAAAGGTTGTTTTCTGCTGCTCCAGAGAAGCGGACACGGAGCAATGGATCCAAACTACAAGAAAGAAGATTCCACCTAAACATTAGGAAGAACTTCCTGACAGTAAGAGCTGTTCAACAGTGGAATTTGCTGCCAAGGAGTGTGGTGGAGTCTCCTTCTTTGGAGGTCTTTAAGCAGAGGCTTGACAACCATATGTCAGGAGTGCTCTGATGGTGTTTCCTGCTTGGACTCGATGGCCCTTGTGGTCTATTCCAACTCTATGATTCTATGATAGCTACCTTCAGAAATCTAATGGGCTGTTGCATGGAAGATGGAGCAAGCTTGTTTTCTAACACCACCTCCTTGTCTAAAGAAAAGTGCTCCACAGCTGCAAACCTCTCCTGTCTCTGGCAGGTAGCCACAGGCTACTTCGTTCCCCAAAAGCAGAGAGGCAGCAGTAGTGGCGCATCCAGCCAAACAGCTATGGTGTAGCAGCTTTTGATTCACCCCTATTTGACAGCCATACATAAGGAGCTCAAAGTGTGTTGAGCCCCTTGTCATCTGCATTTCTCTTGATCCTCAGCCACTCTGCCATCACCTCAATTCAGTTGAAATCCGCAGGAAGTGCTACCAGTTGCATTTGTTCAGGATAGAGGAGCGGATTGCATTGAAGAAAATAGTTGGCCTCTATATTTCCCTCCCATTTTCTTTCTGATGTTTCAGGTTGGTGCTGTCGTCATCACTCCCACACGAGAGCTTGCCATTCAAATAGACGAAGTGATATCCCATTTCACAAAGTATTTCCCACACTTTAGGTAATAATGTAAATGATTCTTACATAAATGATTCTGATTGCTAAGAAGCTGGGCATGATGGCTCACTCTGGTGGCTTTTTTGAATAGCATGTGTGTGCTTTGTTTCAGCCAGTGCCTTCTAATCGGCGGAAAGAATCCCATGGAAGACGTAGAAAGATTCAAAGAACGAGGGTGAGTTGCTGACTGGCCAGTGCTGCTGAAATCTTACTACTTGGGCATCAGGTTTTCTGAACTCCTTCGAGTTTGAAATTACTATGTGTCCTGCATTTTCTGGGTAGAATCCTAGCTCAGTAGCAATTCCATGGATCTGCATTTGGGATTATTCAACCAGTTTGTCCCAGTGTAAATATAGGAGAAAAGCAATGATACCATGTTATCATTGGACCATCTTGGCTGTGTGTCCTGGGAGACTTGGTCCCCGCCTTGCTGGCCTTTTCCCACCTGACCTGGGAGGGCGGGGCCCTGACTGACTCCAGCTGCAAAAAACTCTTGTTTAGTTTTTTTGGGGGGGTGGTGGTGGTTATTGATACTATTTTTTTGTATCTTTAGATATTATTGAGATTTATTATAGCAACTCCCCAGCCCCTATCTGTCCATTGGGTATGGACAGTGCTGTGCCATTTGATCCTTGTGGGTCCTAGTAATAATTTGATCTCTGATAGCTCAGTTAGTAGAGCATGAGGCTGTTACCATCAGGGTTGTGGGTTTGAGCCCCATGTTGGGCAAAAAAGATTTCTGCATTCCCTTTCAACTCTACAATCCTAAGATTCTAAGCACATGGTTGACTAGCTTAATTTCAGTGGAATTTCACAAAAGCAGTTTTTGACATGCTTTCATATTTCGTTCTCTCCTATTAATACTGGAGCACCAACAGGAGCTTAGAAGTCATAAGATTTGAAAATGTCACTTTGGTTCTCATTATTTGCACTTTGGACTTCTCAAGCATTCAGCAAGAGCCTGGTGGCAGCGGAGTAAAAGGTTTTTGTGCAAGGGGGAGGAAGAGGTGGCAGCTGTGTTTGTGATATATGCTAGTGCACAGACAGAGAACATCTCCTTTTCCTTCTTGATTTCTTTCTTGATTGTATTGATCCCAGTTCCAAAAAGATTGGACTCTCCTGTGACTTTCCCTGCAGTTATGAACTTTTCCCCAAACCAACCATAAAAATGAGGTTTCCCCCTCTATACCCAACAGTGGACACATCCTGGTAGCTACTCCAGGCCGTTTGGAGGACATGTTCAGGAGAAAATCGGATGGGCTGGATTTGGCCAGCTCTGTGAAATCTCTAGATGTTTTGGTCTTGGATGAAGCAGACCGGCTTCTGGATATGGGCTTTGAAGCAAGGTATTTGCTTTGGGAGCAAGGGGGACCTTCCGCCAGCAACTTTGATGGTTGCCTGCTCTTGAGCTGGATTATAAATTTCATAATAGTTAAATTGCAAGACATCTGATTGAGCACTTTGGGACTAAGAAGTATGGATGGATAGATCAGTTTATTGCCATTCTGTGACAGTTTTGCTGGTATTGAGTTCATTCCATCTTGCTTTCTGTGGCTTTTAAAAATACTACCACAAAATTGGCTTAAATTGTATGCATTTCCCCCTAAAACAAACATTGTGCATGTACTTGTCCCTGAAACATACATTTTGTACACATTCCCACTCTAAAACAGAATATATGCATTTTTTAACCAAAACTGCATTGGAAAATTTGGAGAAGTGCACAATCCAAATGATAACTGTTTTTATCTACATGTTAATCCATATCATTAGCGTTAGCTTGGTTTCCTTTAAAATGAAGACTGAATAGAGTTCTCCCCTTGTGTATCTTTGGCCTTGATTCAGAAGAGCTCTTCTGACCTTTCTAACTGTGTTCGCTTGCAGTTTAAATACCATTCTGGACTTGTTGCCCAAGCAGAGACGAACGGGGCTCTTTTCGGCAACTCAAACTCAAGAAGTCGAGAACCTGGTGAGGGCTGGTCTCCGGAACCCTGTCCGCATCTCGGTTAAGGAGAAGGGAATGGCAGCGAGCAACACTCAGAAGACCCCCACCCGCCTCCAAAACTACTACATGGTGAGGATGGCTCTATAGTAACCCAGGAAGCTCCCTTCAGCCATGTCAGGTTCTTGGAGTCTCCCCCAGCTCTCTCAGGCAGAGGTTTCTTTGGGAGGTGAGAAAGGGAGAGGAAGGAGAAAGTCCCTTGTGCAAGTCCATTGTCCTTGCCCGACTAGGACAGCTTTGTTGGCTATAACCCTGTAGCTCCTGCAGCCAGTCAGAAGCTGCGCCTTGGTTTTCGAACATTTTCGGAAGTTGAATGGACTTCTAGAATGGATTCCGTTTCAGAAGCAAGGTATGACTGTAATTGAGATTTAAAAAAAAATTTTTTTTGTTAACAGTTGCAGTCTAAAGGGAAGTTTTCAGATTGATCTTGAAAAGGGTTTAAGGAGGGGTTTGATCAGCTCTGGTGTTTGTTGTGTTTTGCTGCTTCCTGCTGCCATCTATTTATCCCTGCCTCTTTATGTTTCTGTCCTCCTCTTTTTAGATCTGCAAAGCAGAAGAAAAATTTAACCAGCTGGTCCACTTCCTTCGCCAACACAAGGCAGAAAAACACCTCGTCTTTTTCAGGTGATGCTAAGGGCAGGGAGGTCCTATAACTCAGTGCTGGGGCAATCTGTGGCCCTCCAGATGTTGCTGGGCCCCTAAGCCCCATCATTCCAGACTATTGAACATAATGGCTGGGGCTGATGGGAGTTGGGGGTCCAGCAACGTTGGGGGGGACGGGACAGGACAGGTTCCTCATCCTTAGCTGTTCAGATATATCTTCATCCGGGAAAGAAATGCCCATGATGTGACCAATGTCTCATTCAGCATTGAGAAATGGAAAGTAGATTGAAACACATAGAGAAATGTTTTTGGTTTTGTTTTGTTTTGCTTTAAAAATAGAACTATCTACCACCCTAAGCACTCTAATTTGTTGGCTCAGTAGATAAAGGGGTGTCCTCAGAAGTTCCTCAGAATTACCGTATTGGCCTGAATATAAGTCGCACCTTTAAAATTCAAGGGGGAAAAAGAAAAAAAGACAATACCCGGATATAAGTTGCTCCCTTAAAATTCCGCAGACACTCACACCCTTTCCGTTTTACCGTATGTCTGTTTCAGCAGCGATATCGTAAAAGCCAATTTTTGTAAGGTCGTGAATTTAAGCCGCACTTTTCACTGTCAGAATTTGGGAAAAAGTGAGGCTTATATTCAGTACCTTCTGGACTCCAGTTCCCATCATTCCCAACCATTGGCCATCCTGGTTGGTGCTGGTGAGGGTTGGGATGTCCAGCAACATTAAAGGTAAAGGGACCCCTGACCATTAGGTCCAGTCGTGGCCGACTCTGGGGTTGCGGCGCTCATTTCACTTTATTGGCCGAGGGAGCCGGCGTACAGCTTCCGGGTCATGTGGCCAGCATGACTAAGCTGCTTCTGGCGAAACCAGAGCAGCGCATGGAAACACCATTTACCTTCCCGTTGGAGCGGTACCTATTTATCTACTTGCACTTTGACGTGCTTTCGAACTGCTAGGTTGGCAGGAGCAGGGACCGAGCAACAGGAGCTCACCCCGTTGCGGGGATTCGAACTGTTGATCTTCTGATCAGCAAGTCCTAGGCTCTGTGGTTCAACCCACAGCGCCACCCGTGTCCCAGGAACATTGGAGGTTCACAATTCCTGTTGTAACAAGTCAAGGTTCCATATTGCCTCAGTGGCCTGGGGCACTGCTGGGAAACTCAGCTTGAAGGGGGAAGGCCCTGTTTGGGGGCGTGGAGGACAGGTGTAGAGGGACTGATTCATTTAGATTTAACTACTCTGGCAGAGCATGGCCTCAAGGAAGCTGCTCTTTTCCAGCTTCAGCTCCTTCATCTGCAATACTCTGAGGTAATCATACTCTCCTGCCTTGAGCCCTGGTCAAAGTAGTTTCACCACTCTTTGGATCTTGGCCTTTAGGCCGTCAAAAATGAAGAATCGCAAAGCTGACCCATTTTGTGGCATTTTGTTTATACTTCCAGTACCTGCGCTTGCGTGGAGTATTTTGGGAAGACTTTGGAATCCTTGATTAAGAATGTGAAAATAATGTGCATCCATGGGAAAATGAAACACAAACGGAATAGGATCTTCACGGAGTTCCGGAAACTTCCGAGGTGAGATGCGTTTTCACAAGGACTGGTTTAGCCAACTGCTAGAAATATGTGTGTGTGTGCCTCTCTCTCCCCCCCCCCCAACACATATGTATGATTTAGGTGTAAGACTGTTGGGAAAACTGCTAAAACTTCAGGATTGTTTGCTTCAGGGTCATTTTCTCTATTTCTAATGTTCAGTCTGCAGCTGTCGATTCTTCTGTAGCCAAAATAGTACCATCCGTGTACAACAGGGAGATATCAGCAGACTTGGCAGAACTCAAAGGTTTGCAGAAGTCCCAAGCATCTTTAGAAAACAAACCCTAAAAGTGGCGGCTGGGCAGGCAGGCAGGGCTCAAAAACACCCCAGTGAGGACTGGGCATGCTCTGTGGCTACAGAATGTTGATAGATTTTTTTTTTTTAGGTGGGAGGGGGAAATAGAGTGGCTGGATTCCTGATCAGCGCTACTCCACGCTGCACCTTTTTGTTGCAGGACCAACGTTCTGCATATGGGAGCCAATTAAGTTGGGAGAATCACTAGGTTATTTCAGTTTTATTTCCGTCCCCTCCTAAAACTTTGCATTTTCCCATGATTTCTTAGTGGCATTCTGGTTTGCACCGATGTGATGGCCCGAGGCATAGACATTCCAGAGGTGAACTGGGTTTTGCAGTGTGACCCTCCAAGCAATGCAAGGTACTGAGTGTTTCTCCCTTTTCTTCCCTTCTCTTTAAGAAGGCAACCAATCTTTAATGGCCACTCTGGTTTATGGCTGCAAAAAAGTGGGAAGTAAAGTATCTGCTGAGCTCAACAGTGATAGCATACAAATGTGGGGGCCTGTGCTGGCCTCCAAAGAGGTGTGCCTTTTCCTTGTGTTGAACCACTTTCCCCCGCTGTTCCAGTGCCTTCGTTCATCGCTGTGGCCGCACTGCGCGCATCGGGCACTTGGGCAGCGCACTTGTCTTCTTGCTTCCCATGGAAGAAGCCTACATCAGTTTTCTAGCCATTAACCAAAAGGTGCGTGGGTTTCTCTGTTTTCAAAAATGGAACGGGAGAATGCTTCCAGGTTCCACCGAGAATGCAGTTCCTGAATAGTCTGTGATGGGGAAGGAATATTGACTGTTCTACAAAGTCCTCTACATCTTTTAGGGACCAGGGGACCTAAAAGATTGTCTCACTCCTTGTGTATGTAACCATGCACTGTGCTCTGCAGGTGAGGGCCTCCTGCAGTTCTGTCTTACTAGATTTGTTCTGTACAATGTAGGGATGAAGCCTATAGTGTGGTGGCACCTGCACTTTGGAATGTGTCAGAAACAGGTGCCTTCTACTTCCCCTCGGTGCCTATTGAAGGACTTCCTTTTCCAATGGGACCTCTATGTGGAGATTTGTATACTAGTCTGCCTCTCTATTGGATGTGAAATTGTTTGCTTACTGCTTTGGAATGCTCTATGGGAGACAATTAATAAATGAAATTAATAAATACCGTATTTTTCGCCCCATAGGACGCACCTAGTTTTGGAGGGGGGAAATAAAGGAAAAAAATTTTATTCCCCCCCCCCCGAGGCGTGGGGCTGGGGCGGGGGAAGCCCGAGCTTTCCCCGACCCAGCCCCCATAACAGGCAGCTCTCCGCAAGCCTTGGGAGACCGGCGTGACTTTCCGCCGGGCTCCCACGCCTTGCATATATCTGCCTGAAGTCCAGACCAGGTCGGGGAACAGCGGGATGGCGGCGCTGCGCCTCCCCGCTGTCCCCTGAGCTTGTGGGGCTGGCGGCAGGTAGAAGCGTGCTTTTCCCCACTGCCAGCCTCCAAAGCAGGTCGGGGAACCAAAGCCCAGGGCGCGCTGTGCAGCGCGCCCCAGGCTTCGAGATGTAGGCTGCTATCCGCAAGCCTAGGGAGCCCGACGGGAACTCCCGCGGGCTCCCAAGGCTTGCGGAGAGCTTCCTGAAGCCTGGAGAGCGAGAGGGGTCGGTGCGCACCAACCCCTCTCACTCTCCAGGCTTCAGCAAAAGCCTGCATTCGCCCCATAGGACACACACACATTTCCCCTTCATTTTTGGAGGGGAAAAAGTGCGTCCTATAGGGTGAAAAATACGGTAGTTATTGACAGGTGTGACTTTTCCTGCTTATTCAGTACTTCTAGTGGGGGAAAATGCACCTTCAGAAATTCTCCCTTCTGCACAAATCTTTGGCAAGCTTTTTTTGGCAAAGATGATGTGCAAAAAAGGTCTTCTGACTTGCAAAATTCTTCACATGGTATGTCATATTTAAAAGTAGCTGAATTAAGAAGTGCACTTCCAGTGTCTTGTTTCAGATAATTTGAAACTGGACTCCTCTTGACAGTGTCCCATGCAGGAAATGAAACTGCAGAGCAACGTGGCAGATGTCCTGCCGAAGCTGAAGTCTCTCAGTCTGGCTGACAGAGCTTTCTATGAGAAGGGGATGAAGGCCTTTGTATCTTACGTGCAGGCTTATGCCAAACACGAGTGCAACCTGATCTTCAGGATGAAAGGTAATTTACACTAGGTGTGTGTGTGTGTGTGTGTGTGTGTGTGTATTTTTGCTGGCCGTTTTGAATCAGGAATGCTCTCTGGCAGCCGTCACCATCCTGGTACCTTCCACAACTTCCCATCATCAGCCCAAGCATCAGGGAATTCTAGTTGAAAACATCTGGAAGGCCCCCTGCTGGCATATGCTGCTTTTTACTGAGTCAGACCATCGGTCCATTTAGTGCAGTGTAGACAGTGCTTCCTGGCAGTGGCTTTCTTAAAGTTTCAGACAGGGGACATTCCCAGCCTTTACCTAGAGATTTATAATTTATTTATTAAATTTGTCTTGCTCTTCATCCTAGATTGAACCCAGAACCTTCTGTATTGAAATGCTCTACCCCTAAGCTGCGCTGCCCCTTCTTGACCTCTGTCTCTGGCTAGAGACGTAGCTTCTCACATGCTTTTTCTCCTTTCCTTCTCCATCAAGGCCATGAGGAAGAAGTCTAAAGCCTAAGCTTCTGGCTTTGATTAACCACAGCTTGTCATTTCATGGAAACCGAGCAAACTGGTTGATTTTAATTATGGTTTGTAGAAACAAGCCAACTTCAAATCATGTGTTGTGAAGTCAGCTTGTTTATCAAGCCGGGGCAGAGTGTGCTGTGCTGAGCCTTGCCCCCACCTCCCCTTCAGCTGTAGGGTGACCGAGGGAGAGGCGGCGGGCAGAAGCAAGCCTCATGCTGCCGTTTTGGGCAGCACGGAGCCTGCAGGCGTCAGAGCCACTGTGTCACTCCCAGGAGAGATGTGTGGCTCAGGCAACTGCAGGCCCCACAGTAAATTAAGATGAAACCGAAAGGTATGGTTCTGATGTTAACACTAATCCTGAGTTTATCAGAAATGGAAGTTTCTGACCTCCTCACAGCCATATCTGAGGAGGAGAGGAAGGGGGCGTAACATGAGCCCAGGGCTTGCCAATGGTCCTCCCAACCACAGTGAACCATGGTTTATCCCATGGGCTGCCAACATGGCATCCATGGGCGCCAATAGCCAACCTGTCTATGGCACCTCCCATGAATTATCCCTTCAAAAATTCACAACCCACAAGACTCTTTTCCTGCTAATTTTCTTGTTTGCAGTGGCTGAGCATCTCCCAAATCGAGCACTCTCCCTCCCATTCTCCACAGAGGGTGGGTGCAAGGAGATACTCTGCGAGCAAGCATGGAGGTGGCTGATGCAGGTGCTTGCTCCATTGGGGCACGAGTGGGGCATTCTTGAACTATTTTTGTGAGTCTGCCTCTCTTTCTCCCCTTTTAGATGCAACAGCCATTTCATGTAATGCCGCATACCCAGCACCAGCCATTTTGTGACTGGCGCCCATGGTACTTTCTCTAAATTCCAAATGTGCTCCCTGACCCCCCAAAGCTTGGTGGTCCCTGTTTTATTGTGACATCCCAGCTGGCCTGTGTAGTCTCTGCTTTGTCACATGGTTTCTGTATGTGGCTTGATCCATCCATATACTTTTCTCTCTCTTTCTTCTCCCTTGCCCCCTCTCAACAGACTTGGACTTTAGTAGCCTGGCCCGCGGTTTTGGTTTGCTGAAGATGCCACGGATGCCGGAGCTGAAAGGCAAGTGCTTTTCGGACTTCACGCCTGTTGATATTGACACGGACACGATTGCCTTCAAGGACAAGAACAGAGAAAAACAGAGGCAAAAGCTGTTGGAGCAGCGAAGGAAGGAGTGGCAGGAGCACGGTGGGCAGAGAAAATTCACTCGCAACAAAGCCTGGTCCAAGCAGAAATCAAAGAAAGAGAAGAAGAAGAAAATGACAGCCAAAAGGAAAAGAGAGGAGGTGAGGGGAGTGTGCTGCCATGTTTATTTTATTTTTGATTGCATCTAGGGCTAGTACGGTAAAGGTAAAGGGACCCCTGACCATTAGGTCCAGTCGTGACTGACTCTGGGGTTGCAGCGTTCATCTTGCTTTATTGGCTGAGGGAGCCGGCATACAGCTTCCAGGTCATGTGGCCAGCATGACTAAGCCGCTTCTGGCGAACCAGAGCAGCGCACAGAAACGCCGTTTACCTCCCCTATTTATCTACTTGCACTTTGACGTGCTTTCGAACTGCTAGGTTGGCAGGAGCAGGGACCGAACAATAGGAGCTCACCCCATCGCGGGGATTCGAACCGCCAACCTTCTGATCGGCAAGTCCTAGGCTCTGTGGTTTAGCCCACAGCGCCACCCGTGTCCCACATCTAGCGCTAGTAGACCTATTGAAAATAAAGAGTCATTAATTTCAGTGGGTCTATTCTGGGTAGAGTTTAATTGACTTAACTACAGTTCAACACCTCCACATTCCACATCTACCTAGCATGTTGAATCTTTTCTTGTGGATTTTAATTGCAAGCTGCTTTTTTGAGAGCCAGTCTTGACTGAAAAAGGGACGTGGGTGGCGCTGTGGGTAAAACCTCAGTGCCTAGGACTTGCCGATTGCATGGTCGGCGGTTCGAATCCCCGCGGCGGGGTGAGCTCCCGTCTTTCGGTCCCAGCTCCTGCCCACCTAGCAGTTCTAAAGCACCCACAAGTGCAAGTAGATAAATAGGTACCGCTTTATAGCGGGAAGGTAAACGGCATTTCCGTGTGCTGCACTGGTGCTGGCTTGCCAGAGCAGCTTCGTCACGCTGGCCACGTGACCCGGAAGTGTCTCCGGACAGCGCTGGCCCCCGGCCTCTTAAGTGAGATGGGCACACAACCCTAGAGTCGGACACGACTGGCCCGTACGGGCAGGGGTACCTTTACCTTTACCTTGACTGAAAAGGGTGGTGGGGTGGATAAAGAAATACAAGGAGCAGCAGAGGGCTTAATGCAGTTGTTTGGGGAAAACTGGAACTATGTGTCTGTCATAAGAACATCAGGAGAGCCTGCTGGATCAGCCCAGTGGCCACCTAGTCCAGCAGCCTCTTCTCACAGAGGCCAACCAGATGGTTCTTTTGGGAAACCTTCAAGCAGGCCCTGAGCACAAGAGCTCTTCCCTCCTGCGGCTTCCAGCAATTGGTATTCAGAAGCATTGCTGCCTCCCAGCTGTGGAGGCAGAGCCAAGCCACCATGGCTAGGATCCCTCTTCTCCTTCATGAATTTGTCTAATCCTATTTTAAAATCATCTAAGGGTTCCATATCTGATTATGTGCTGCACGAAGCACTTTCTTTTATCCATCCAAAATCCAAAAATTCAGCTTCACTGGGTGTCCACGAGTTCCAATGTTAGGAGAGAGGGGAATTCCACCACCCACTTTCTCCATGCCCTGCATAGTTTTATAAACTTCTGTCATCTCGCCTCTTACTTGCCTTTTCTCCAAACGAAAAAGTCCCAAACGCTGCAACCTTTCCTAATAGGGGAGTCGGTCATTTGGTGGCCCTTTTCTGAACTTTCCCCAGCTCCACAATACCCTTTTTGAGGTGAAGCGACCAACCAGGACAGCCCTCCAAATGCAGCTGCACTATAGATTTGTATAACGTCCTTATGATGCCGGCAGTTGCTGCCCAAGTATTTCTGTGCCCTGCTAAGATCTGGTCTTCTCCCCCTTTTCCTTGCAGGGTTCTGATGTGGAGGACGAGGATATGGAGGAGCTCCTGCAGGACACCCGGCTCTTGAAAAGGCTCAAGAAGGGCAAAATCAGTGAGGAGGAGTTTGAGAAGAAGCTGCTGCACGGCGTGAAGGAGGCCCAGGCAGGAGGCTCAGACTGAAGGGTGAAATGTTGAGCTGAACTCTCCTTTTTGATACAAATAAAACTGTATATACACATACCAAATGCCATTTCACTCTTGATATTGTTGTTGTTGGGGCCTTATGTTACAGCAGCCTTGTTCAACTTGGAGCTGTGCAAATGATTTGGGCATCAGCTCTCATGAGCCCCAGCCAGCACAGCTTTCAATCAGGACAACCTGAAGCCACCGCCTGCTGAGTCAGACTGTTGATGACCTGCTACAGGAGATTTTTTAAACAGGAAGTGCCAAGGATTCAGCTTGGCAAAGTGTGGGCTTTGCCAGGAAGCTACGAGTAAGGACCACTTTGCTGTTAAGATTTTGAGCATCATGTTGCAAAGGTTCCCAGATTTTTCCTCCCACCCATGTCTTGCAATAAGTTGCATTCTACAAAGCCAGTGGCACATTCTTGCTGGGTAACCTTGTCCCAGTTGCTGTGTTTATTTATTTTTATTTATCTTTTGAATTTATATACCACCCTATACCTGGAGGTTTCAGGGCGGTGTTGCAACCTAACCTACTTTGTTGGACTGTGATGAGGCTAACAAGGGGAGATCATGTATCCAACTCTGAGCTCCTTGTAGGAAGAAGGGAGCAGGATTCTGCCGTCCACGCCTACCTGGCCTGAGGGATTGACTGTAAGTAGTCACTCCCTAGCTGCCTGCTTTAAACATTTTGTGTCATTCCTTCTGAAAAGTCTGGCTTCTCTTATCTAAGAGAATTGAGGTCGAATCATCAGCCACCAACTGTTCTCCATCATCTTAAGCCTGCCTTCTTAAAAGATATATTTTAAAAAATATATTTAATTTTAGTATTTTTTTAAAAAATAGTATTTTATTAAAGCTTTGTCATAATACAGTAAGTTAAAAGAAACTAATCTAAAAAACAGAAAGAAAAAGCAAAAGCAAATTCCTCTCTTAAAGGCAGCTCTTAGCGTTTTGTCTCACACAGAAAGTGGTGGACCCACCCAGCTTTCCTTTCTTCTCCCAGCCTCTCCCCCTGGGTGGTCTTCCCTACTCAGGGTCCTTCCATCCACCACCTTCATGTGTGTGTAATCCTCAATAATGGTCCAGAACAGAAGACCTACGGTGAAGGGTCGGTAATAAACTGAATTACAAATAAAATCTAACATATCTGAACCGTCTGTGAATTTGTTCCTGACAATTTAACTTTCCAAGCTGCATTGTGGGCTCTGCATGCAACCCATTTAAGAGACTTGGTTCTTCAACTTGAGCCATCCAGTGATTCATCACCAGCAATCTTCTTACTTACAGGGTTTACCTTTTGAACAGGCTGGTAGAGAAACATAACCACCCTTAGGCACGCCAGATGTGGACAGTTTTACAAGTAGAGTTTAATCAGTTCATCGCTAACAGCAGAGGGGGTCAGGACCCCAAGGTCTGTAAAGAGCAGAGTGATCAAAGATGGGGAGGTATAATCGATCCAGGGATGCTCCTCTGTAAGTGCTTTACGCTGATTCAGCGTGTCAGCTTTGTACTGGGGAAGAAATAAGAAAAAGTGGTGAGTTATCATTTTCTGTGAAAGGACGCTTTTTCCACCCAAGTTTGGCAGCATGACTTATAATCACAGAGCTGAGAGGCACCTAAAGGTAATCTGGTCTAATCACCTGCCCATTCAGAAAAGCTGGCTACTACAGCGTCCCTAATAGGCACGCACCCAGCGCCTGCTTTAGAAGCTGTAATGAACAAGAGTGCCACACCTTGCAGGGAAGGGAGGCAGCTTGGGGGCAGAGCATTGGCTTTGCATGCAGAAGGTCCCAGGTTCATTTCCTGGCTGAGAGTGTTGCCTGCCTGCAACTCTGGATCACAGTTTTGCAGACAATACTAAGACAGAAGGATTAGTATTTGATTTGATTCCCACCCCCTCTTTCTTTTTTCTTTTTCCTTTCTCCTCCTGTGATGAGGCTGCATTTTAATGTTTCAATATTTTAATGTTGTATTTTAATCTTGTTTTTAAGTTGTATTCATTCAACTTGTTTTTATTATTGCTTGTTAGCTGCCCTGAGCCCGGCCTTGGCTGGGGAGAGCGGGGTATAAATAAAAATTATTATTATTAGTCTGATTCAGATTGAGGCAGCCTGTTCCACTGTCTAACAGAGTGGTCCATCAAGAGGGTCCTTTTCCTTCCCATTTGAGCCCATTGGTTTGGGTCCTGTTACAGTACTCTGTACATGTGTAACATTCAACACACATATGCCCAGGCTGCATAGTCTGAACGCAGGCTGACAATGGGAAGCTACCTTACACCAAGTCAGGCCCATCTAGCTCACTGCAGTCGACACCACAAGTGGAAGAGGATGAAGCAGCCCTTCCCCTGTGCTTGGATCCAGCTCTGTCCCTTGCTGAATTGCAACCTGAGGAACTTGGTAACTAAGGTCTAATGCCTGAGCTTGATTTCCTTCTGCATCCCACAAACCCTTTTCCTTTTATGTCATTCTTTCAGATTGTAAGCATGAGGGCAGGGACTGTCTTATTGGTAAGCATTTGTATGCTACTCTGGGAGCCTATTTTGGCTGAAGAATGAGGGGGAAAGTGCTTGAAATAAATAGCTGAAAGAACTCTCCTCAGCTCGAGCTACAGTATTGGTTGTAATAAGAGGTGGGGTTTTGCTTAGTTGACAACTTATATATTGCCCTTTCCACAAGTTACAGGGCAGCTTACAACAAAGCAAACAGATAAAGAGATATAAAACAGATAAATCAGAAACATGTAACATCAATCACTGAATTATAATTATTAATAGTGGCAAAAATCAGTGGCTCCTCAAAAAAACTGCCACAAATAGGCAAGTCTTGCACAGCTTCACCCAATTCAGATGCCATGGAGAGACAAGGACTGGGTGTCACCCACCCACCATTTATTTCTCCATTGCACATCCTGCCCTTCCTCCTGAATTAGTCCAGGGTGGCACACCCACCCACAATTCAAAAACAAAGCAGCCAAAACATTAGAAAAACTATTACAATTTAAAAACATCTAAAAGCAGTGACCATTAACACTTCATCTGACACCTTCAGGGTTGCCAGGAACAGGATTCCTGAGTAAACATTAATGTTTTCAAATTCATTCTGGAAGTTGATAATGAAGGTGACAAATGCACCTCAGTGCCCCAAATCCCTGGATGGCTGCCCCATATACTGGTTTACTACCAAGATCGGACATTAAATTCCTGAGGTTTCCACCCCATTGCAGGCTACAGAGTTTTGAATGCAGATAACCAGGAAGCAAAGTTAGTTTTCCTTTACCTTAAATTTATCTGGGACATCCTGTTGGTTCAGAGGGAAGAGTCTCACAAACTTGAAGCTCTCTGCCACCACATAGAAGGGCTTGTTCTGAGCTTTGGCGCACACAGCCATTTGATTTGTGCCAATCTGAAAAGGCCATGGGGGGGGGAGAGAAATGTTCTCAGGTTATGATGAGGAACCAAACACCCCTTGCTTTATGATACAAAAGAAACCCCAAGGGTAAGATTCTGTCAAAGCCAAGCACAGTGGAGTCTTGTTGGAGAGATTTACAGTGCAGTCCTATATACATGTCTACTCAGAAGAAAACCCCATTGAGTTCAATCAGGTTCTCACGTAAGTAAGCTACAATTTTATACCTACTAAGCTACTGTGAAATAAAGGGATTTCATCCTGAGTTGACATGCCTAGGTTTGCGCTGTAAAGTACTGTATTTTTCTCTCTATTACACGCAGATTTTTTCTCCTAAAAAGGAAGGGGAAATGTCTGTGCGTGTTATGGAGCAAATGTGGGGGGGGGTCCCTGGAGCCGATTAGGGGAGCGCAGGAACAAAAATCAGCAAAAATCAAAGCGCGTTGTGTCGGAGAGGGAAACCTGAAAAGAGGAAGTGGTTGCTTTCCTGCATTCTGCCTCAGGGTCTTACTGCCCACCCTCCTCTGTTTCGTTGCTGTGTTTGCTCAAACGGAACAAAGAGCAGGCAAATCCCCTCCCCTCCAGGCAAGCAGAGGGGAAAGCAGAGGTCTTTCCTTCTAATTCCTCTCCGTGCTCCTCGCAGGCAGCCAGAAAACATGCAGGAGGAGAGAGAAAGCTGGCTTCAGTTTGTGGAAACTTTTGCCTTTTTTTCCTACCTCCCGTTAAATCCCTCTCTTGCTTTCTTAGCCAGCTGCTTCTCTGCACACTGCTCTCTTGTCCCTTCTGTGTTTTTCCTTCACTCCCCACTTAAAATGTAGTTACAAAGCATGGATCCACATGGATCCTCAGGATCTTTGCATTGGGCCACCCCAAATTCACCATCAGATCACATAGCAGCCTGCCCCCCAAAAATCACACACCCACTGTTGCCTGGGGCTGCAATGGTGCAAAAATGTGGTTAAAAAGCATGGATCCACATGGATCCTCAGGATCTTTGCATTGGGCCACCCCAAATTCACCATCAGATCACATAGCAGCCTGCCCCCCAAAAATCACACACCCACTGTTGCCTGGGGCTGCAATGGTGCAAAAACATGGTTAAAAAGCATGGATCCACATGGATCCTCAGGATCTTTGCATTGGGCCACCCCAAATTCACCATCAGATCACATGTCTGTGGCCACAGCATGAAGCACAAAAATGATACATCCACAGTTTCATTCAGAATTTTTTTCCTTGTTTTCCTCCTCTAAAAACGATGTGCGTGTTATGGTCAGGTGCGTGTTATAGAGCGAAAAATACGGTACATGTTTCCCTCTCTCACTGAAAATCAGTGGAACTTCAAAGCGCTTAACTGTATCCTGTATTATACCTGCAAGAAAAATAAGCAACTCCCTTGATTCAGGTCTCAAAACCTTTGACGAAAAGGGTATGTTCACATATAAGCAAGCCTTATGCTATGCATGTATGATAGGATTCCACAGAAGGCAGAACATTCATATGTACATGGGCATGTGGGTCCACATTCTAGCTTTCTATTCTATTTTATTTTCTGGCCCTTATGGTTGTAAAGAACGCAGTTTCCACTCAGATGGAACATACATAGTTTCTGCTCAGATGACAGAGGAGCAGCTAAACAAGTTTTCCACTGGTCAACACTTCTGCTCTATGTAGTTTTATGCTGCTCCCCTTGACTAGCAAAATTAGAATATATTATGTACAATTATGCCCCATATAAGTAAATAGGCAATGCTGCTTATTTATTTTGAACAATATATACAGGCTGCAGAATTCTAACATTTATTTGGGACAGTTGGGAAGAAAGAGAGGGAATTGAATCAAACAAGTTTTTACAAAGGAAAGCTGACTAGGATTTTTAAAGGCTTTTTTCGTGTGTGTTGGAGGGAAAAAACCAGGGAACGACAAGCACTTTCTCCTGCTGCTCCCGAGCTTCTTCCTTAAATAATCTGGCTAACCAATGGAAGAAAGCAGGACGTTGGAGAAGACGGGACTTTTGTTCAGATCCAGCAGGACAGCTCTGGAAAAACAACTATTTAGGGAGCCACGAAAAACCTGGGCAGACGCACACTTTACCTTGTTAATAATTCCTCCATTTTCTACCACTCCTTCAGCGCCAACTATCACCAGGTCCACTTTCTCCATGATGTAGCTGTTCAGAAGGAATAAAAACAGCTTAATTCCTGTTCCATCCAAGGAGTTATTTGGGGTGGGGCTATTGTGATGCACAGAGCCCACTCCTGTTACGCTTTCAGCTATACCTTATGGGGTCTTCGCTACGAGATCACATTCACCCGGTGCTATACCAGCTGCACTGGCTCCCAGTGGAGTTCAGGATCAGGTTTAAGGTGCTGGTTTTAACCTTTAAAGCCCTATACAGCCTGGGACCCTCGTACCTACGGGACCGCCTCTCCTGGTATGTCCCACAGAGGAACTTACGGTCTTCAAATAAAAACATCTTGAAGGTCCCAGGCCACAGAGAGGTTAGGCTGGCCTCAACTAGAGCCAGGGCTTTTTCGGCTGTGGCCCCGATCTGGTGGAACGCTCTGCCACAAGAGACTAGGGCCCTGTGGGACTTGATATCTTTCCACAGGGCCTGCAAGACAGAGATGTTCCACCAGGCCTTTGGCCAGGGCGCAGCCTGACCCCCTCCTTCGGCAATCTTCGCGGAGCTCTGGCCCAGTGGCTGCCATTGGTTTGATTTGAGTTAATTTTGTAATGAATGATTTTGGTATGTTGTACTATTTTATTGTTGTTAGCCGCCCTGAGCCCGGCTTCGGCTGGGGAGGGCGGGATATAAATAAAAAATATTATTAATTATTATTATTATTATTATCATCATCATTATTATTATTACCCTCCCCTTGCCACTTGTTTTACACTTGGGAGAGAAATACAAGACTAGCTGTGAAACAGCCAAAGAGAAAGGAGGGGGACACAGGAAGCTGCCTTATAGCGAGTCCCACCAGTGGTCCATCTAGCCCAGTACTGTCTACACAGGCTGGCAGCAGCTCTCTCCAACCCCCACCTGGAATCTCTGGGGACTGAACCTTGGACCTTCTGCACCCAAGGCAAACGCTCTCGCACTGCGCTATGGCCAACAACCTTGGCTTACCAGTGCAAGAACCAGCCCTTTAAACACCAGGATGCAGCAGGTCCTCTTCCTCTGCAGCCCTCACAGCAGGTCACTATGTCCAGCTGCCTTTCCAAAGCCCAGCTGCAGCACCAGCCACACAGACTTACCCAACGGCAGCATCCAGGATGATGGTCACAGGAATGCCAAGTTTACTGAGTGCCTTTGCCATCTTCTGCCTGTGTAATTGTTAATAGTTTTTTAAAATTAATAGTTTTTTTGTTCAAAACAGTGTTCTAAAAATTAACAGAATATATATATATATATATATTAAAAAAATCAAATTAGCTCCTGGTATAGAATTGTTTTTTCTTCTCATCATCAGCAACTCCTATCCCTCCTTTTGCACTGAGGATGTTGTCTCAAGAAATCAGGTCTAAACAAATTTAACAGAGAGCAGGTCCCAATGAACTCAGGGGGATTTATTTCTAAGTGACATGCTTCACATTGTGCCGCTGGAGATTAAGAAAACTATGGAGCTCCACAAATTTATTCCCCTGGTCACCAATGGTGACATCTCCTTCCAAAAGTCTTTTGAGATTTGCAGAGAAACCTTTCCACAAAGTGAAACAGACTCCTCCCTCAAGCCCTCTGGCTGCTTTCCCACTAGTTCTTCCCTTCACTGTAGCCTGGCACGAAGCAAGGTTGCTCTTCCCCACCCCCCAATCCTCTGGTTCATGCAGAACAGTAAGTGGAAGAGAGGCAGTGCTGTGTAGTGGTTAGAGCAGGCTTTCCCAAGGTGGTTCTCCTAGATGTTGTAGGACTCCAACTTCCATCAGCCTCCAATTGCTAGGAATGGTCAGACTTTAGTCCAACACCTGGAGGGCACCACGTTGGGGAAGACTACGGTAGAGTGTTGGACTGTAATCACAGAGGCCCGGGTTCAGATCTCCACTCACCATGTGGCTCACTGTGAGGTCTTTGACCCAATCACCATCTCTCAGCCTACCTTACCTCCCATGGCGGATGTGGGCAGAAAATTCTGGGGAGTGGAGGAAATAAAACCTTGTATACTATTCTGATTTCCTGGGAGGAAAGGGGGATCTAAAACATGGGACATGTGGCAAAAGCCCAACCTAAAAAAGGTTGGCAAATCCATTCACCAAAACCTATTGATTCTTGGGCCGCTCTTAAATCAAAATGATTTACCAGCTGCTGAATTTGCAGACTGATCTGCTGTGTGCTTGTTCAGAAATATGTCCCACCCTGTTCAATGGGACTTACTTCCAAGTTCAGTGTGCAGAAGACTGCCCCCTAAATTCGCAGGGGGGTAAACCTTTTCAGATAAAGACAGATAGCAAACGGCTTCCTCTGTTTGCACAGAGCCTCGTGCCCCTAAAATAGAGAAAAGAGAAGTCCCATCTACTTGCCCTGCTTGATCAGGCTGCGATTCAGTGATGTAGACACTGAAACGTTTCTTTGCTTCCACGGCGGCTTCTAACACTCGCAGGACCACTTTGGAGTAAGCGTGAGTTAAGATTCTCTGCGGAGGCAAGGCACAGGATTCTTCAGTTTATTGCGTGCCATGGAAATCCACTGTCCAGGCTATATTACGGAAGCTGTACTACCCAGGACAGGATGGGGTTGTGCAGAGTTGTTAAGGCAGCAGAGAGCATTGTTGGCTGCCCACTCTCCACCTTAGAGCAGATTTATGCCACAAGGTGCCATAGGAAGGCACTGGACATAGTAAAAGATCCATCGCATCCTGGTCACTGTCTCTTCGAGCTCCTGCCGTCGGGACGGAGATACAGGACGATGAAGACAAGAACGAGCTGTCTTAAGAACAGCTTCTTCTCCAGAGCGATCTCGGCCCTGAATGGGAAGCCTGGACTTTGAAAGTCATCTAATCTTCCTTGCTGTATTATACTGTATTGTTTTAATTAGTGTTTTTATAGTTGTTTTGATTTTGTGTGGAGTGCCCTACCTGGGTGGATGGAGCAGCCAAGTAATTTCGTTGTCCCCGAGAGGGGGCAATGACAATAAATATATTATTATTATTATTATTATTATTATTATTATTATTATTATTAACATCCATAAGGTTGGAAGGGACCCTGAGGGTCATCTAGTCCAACCCCTTGCAACGCAGGAATCTCAACGAAAGCATCCAGGACAGGCGACCATCAGCCGTGGATGCAAAACTTGGGAATGGGCTCTGTGACAAAACAGCTTATGCTAGGGCAGTGGACCCTCTTCTGGCCTTGGGGCCCTGGCAAATGCCCACCCTCTGGCGCCAACCCTGTGAATAGCCACTGTCACAGAATCATCGTAGAGTTGGAAGGGACCCCAAAGATCATCTAGTCCAACCCCTGCAATGCAGGAACTTTCTGACATTAAGAGCTGTTTGACGGTGGAACAGACAACCTCAGGAGTTGGTGGACTCTCTCCTTCGTTGGAGGTTTCAAAGCAGAGGCTGGATGGTTAGTTAGTCTGGCTAGTTACCGTATTTTTTGCTCTATAAGACTCACTTTTCCCCTCCTAAAAAGTAAGGGGAAATGTGTGTGTGTCTTATGGAGCGAATGCAGGCTGCGCAGCTATCCCAGAAGCCAGAACAGTGAGAGGGATTGCTGCTTTCGCTGTGCATCGATCCCTCTTGCTGTTCTGGCTTCTGGGATTCAGAATATTTTTTCCTTGTTTTCCTCCTCCAAAAACTTATGGTCTGGTGCGTCTTATAGAGCGAAAAATACGGTATATAGCAAACTTGCATCCTGCATTGCAGATGCTTCCCTGAGTGGGAGGCAGGGCTCCAAGGTCTTTTCCATGCTATGATTCCATGCCTGGCTTAGCTCAGAGATTCATAGGATACAATGTTTTCTGCCCAGCATCGGTTTCTGCACACACATGGAGCATCTGTGGGATACGCACAAGACATTTCACTCTACTTCTTTGCCCCAATATGACCCAAGCTCTCTTACCCCACCATCTTTGACAAACGTGTGGCAAAGTTCGGCAATTTTGCTCCTTGAATTAGAGGTTCGAGCGAGGAAAAGCTTCCCTCGCTGAATCATGATATCTTTGCATTTGGAATAGTCCTGGAAAAAGCAGCACAAGAAACGGAATTAGAGTATCTTCCAGTCATAATCCAGTGGAGTCCTTTGTTTAATTTTTGAGAGATACATAACAGTAAAAAATAATCCATATTAGCACTTTACTTTTATATGTATGATAGCACAACAGTATAGTTTCTTATTCTGTATAATTTCAAAGTGAAATGTTTAACATGTCTAGATATGCATTATGTAATCAGTGCTGTTTCTATAGTTATATCAGTTGGAAAAAGAAAGAAAAAATAACTAGTGAAATAAACTAGAGTATGCCCTGGGTATCATGCTCAGCACAACTTTGTTTACAAGCAACTGCTTGGTAGCCACAGGTGATAAGGAATTGCATGCATGCAAGATACTGAGCCAGCTAGCAGAAGAAGGAAGGATCCCATCATCCCTCTACAACCAGCACAGAAATTTATTATTAACTTGATTTATTTATTCTCCTCCTGTCAGCTCTCTGCTGTTTTTTTGTTTGGTGCAGGCTAGTAGCTTCTATAGGCTTATTTACAAGACTGGCTTAGCTTTTTTTAAAAAAGAGAGAGACAGAAAAAGTGCTAAAGACATCCTCTGAGTCTTCTGAGGTGCACAAAGTGATATACAAACTTTGCATATGCTACAGAGTCCTCTTTCACTGTTACCAGCACATGATTTGTTCCAGCACTGGTCCCTGATATTTAAAACTGGTTCCAGATCATAGCAAAGAAGTAACTATGTATTTATTTAATCTCTATACTGCCTTTCATCCAAGGATCACAGGGCAGTTTACAATGTAAAAACACAAAAATACGTAACAAAAACAATACCCGCCAGAGTTTAAAAGGCCAAACATTGCTCAATTAGCCAAAGGCCTGGGAAAGTGGAAAGTTTTCACTTGGCTCCTAAAGATATGTAACCAAGGTGCCAAGTGAGCCTCCCTAGGGAGTGCATTCCACAAATGTGGAGTCACCGCAGAAAAGGCCTGTTCTTGTGTTGCTGCCCTCTGGAGCTCTTGTGGAGGTGGCACAGAAATAAGGGCCTCAGATGATGATTGCAGGGTCTGGGTCAGTTCATATGGGGAGAGGCAGTCCCTGAGAACTCAAGGTAAACGTGTTTCATTGCAGCTCTTGTGGTCCTGCTCTGTACAGTGGTGCCTCGCAAGACGAAATTAATTCGTTCCGCAAGTTTTTTCTTCTTGCGAGTTTTTCGTCTTGCGAAGCACGGTTTCCCATAGGAATGCATTGAAAATCAATTAATGCGTTCCTATGGAAACCGCTTGCCAGGCTGGCGGTGCGGAGAAGGGCTTTTCTCCCCACCGCAAGCCTTCAGGACAGGTACGGGAACAGAGGGGAAGGGGTGCAGTGCTTCTCCTCTGTTCCCGGGGCTTGGGGTGGGAGGAGGGTTTTTCCTCCCCACCGCCAACATTCAGAACAGCATTCTGAATGTTGGTGATGGGAAGGAAAACCCTCCTCCCACTGCAAGTCTTCAGGACAGCTATCCGAAGGCTGGCGCGGGGAGAAGGTCTCTCCGCCCCACCGCCAGGCTTCGGAGCAGCCTTCCGAAGGCTGGCGGCGGGAGGAGGTCTCTCTGCCCCACCGCCAGGCTTCGGAGCAGCCTTCCGAAGCCTGGCGGTGGGAGGAGGTCTCTCCGCCCCACCGCCAGCCTTTGGAGGAGCCTTCCGAAGCCTGGCAGCGGGAGGAGGTCTCTCCGCCCCACCGCCAGCCTTCGGAGGAGGTCCGAGGACAGTGGGGAAGACGCGCTGCACTTCCCCGCTGTCCCGGAGATTTCCCTATGGGCTTTCGTCTTGCGAAGGAAGCCCATAGGGAAATTCGTTTTGCGAAGCACCTCCAAAACGGAAAACCCTTTCGTCTAGCGGGTTTTCCGTCTTGCGAGGCGTTCGTCTTGCGGGGCACCACTGTATTGCCTTCATCTAAAAACCAGCAACGGTGTAAAGAAGACTACTACCAAACACTTGCCACCCTTTACGAAAATCTAAGTGGAACTTACTGGATTCTCCAAAGACGTGAGGCTGATGAATCTTAAGAAGAGCTCTCCCCCAGAAGAGACAGCAACTGAAGAGTCAACACCAGAGAGAATTTCTATTGCATGTTTGAGGTTTGCTCTCAACCCTTGAATTGTCTCACCTTGACAGAAAGAGGGAGAGAGTAAGCTACTAAAGGCCCAATGACGGCATTGTCCAGGGGTGTGCAGACTTACAGCTTACAGGATCTACTTATTTATTAAGTTTATACCCTGCCCTTCCTCCCAGAGCAGCAAATAACAAGTGATAAAGAATGAAAGACATATTTAAAGCATATTAAAAACAGTTCCAATACAGGTGCACACTGGGACAAGAACTCCATTTAAAAAGCTTGTTGAAAGAGGATGTCTTCAGTAGGTACTGAACAGAGACAGCACCTATCTAATATCCTTTATTAGGCATAGCAAACCACACTTTATCAAACAGACGCCGTATACAAATTGTGCAAAATATGAGCTCAGCATAATAAGGTTTGTCCCAGTCAGATCTTTAACTCCAGAGGAAATCAATTTGCATAAATAATACAGCACAACACTACCACATCACCGATCAATTAAGAACCACTAAATCTCTTTATAATGGCCCAGTCTTTCTACATGGACAGCACTCAAAAATTCAGCCACTATTAGAGTAATTTGATTATACCTGTCCGAAAGCAGGTCACCTGTCTAATATTCAAGGGAGGGAATTTCAAAGGGAAGGGACCACAATACTAAAATACCTGATTCCTACATTGTGCAGAACAAGCCTTCTGATGAGATAGCATCTGCAAGAGGCTCTCACCAGCAGAACACAATGGCTGACTGGGTTTATAAGGGGTATTCCGGTATCCTGGTCACAAGCTGTTTAAGGCTTTATACACCAAAACCAGCACCTTGAACTCAGCAAGGTAACAGCAAGTTTTACTATAAATCAAAAGTTCCCGGAAAACCAGGTGCAAACTGGTAGCTCCACAGCTCAGCCCACCCAATTTGATTGCCTTACGTGCCTTTGTCCCTCTTCAAGAACTCCAACAAGACATTGATGGCTGCCACAGCAGAGGCAACATCTGGCTCCTGTGTAATCTTGGTTTTAAAAGCTTCAACCAGCTCTGAAAAGAAGATATAGGGCAGGATGGAAAAAGGGGAGAGTCATTGAGGTTCTGCTTTTACACTTCACAAACTAGCTGTGCTTTCAGTTATTACAAATTCATTGCAATGGTAGTTTAAATGGTCAGCTTTGGAATCTCCACAAACAGTCACAGTTGCTTTTATTAAGAGATCCAATAATTATGATAATCGACACAACATTTTACAAGAAGGTAGCTATGCAGCAGAACCCCTGCATCTTACGAAAACGCTTCCAGATTCAATCCCCAGAATCTCCAGTCAAAAGGATCAGAGAGCAAGACCAGCATTCTGATCTGGTTCAAAGACAGTATGGGGCTTGATCCGGAAGCTGCATTTACTGCAGAATCATAACATTTATGAGGTGGGAGCCTTGTGACACCATAAAGGTTAACACACTTATTATGGCTTTTGCGAACTTTTGTTCTATATACTCTTCAACAGATGCTGTCCCGAGATGCAGGCGTGTGTTTGTGGAACTGGTAACAGCGGAGTCGGAAGGAAAAGAAATGCATAAAAGCACGAACAAGGTAATTACAGTACCAACAGTGGCCAGTCTCACACGCGGTTGTTGTGGCTAACACCAACATGCGTTTATTTCTGACAGTAAACCATTTAATATTATTCTGTTTCCATCTAACACACACATATATAAAATAGAAATTTATTTGGCCACTGATGGAAACCTCCTCCTTTTGTTGCTGTTTTGATGACAGAGTTGGGGGCATACTCTAGAAAACCGAAACAACAATGATAACAATAACAATATTAATATTATTATTAATAATAACAATTGACCAGCTGCAGCGCGCAACACTCAATGCCTTACCTGCTTCGTTCATGGTAGGAGAAAATGTCACCCAAGCCTTCCCAGCTGCTCTCCCGATCCACGCTGCCCCTTGGCCGGAACCTTCGGCGCCGCGCCGCTTGGCCTCGCCGGAAACCTTTCCATGCTGCAGTTACTTCCGGGGAAGCGGGAGGGGAAAGTGACGTCGAGAGGACGCGCCAGAAGCTGGCGTGACCACATTCTCGAGCGACGGAAGTCCGCCTGCCTGTCCCTGCTGCGGGGCGATATGAGCGGAGGTGAGTCCGCGGCGCCTGGCGTCGCCTCCCCGTTGCTGCCCCGGGATTTCAGGCAAAAACCTGGGCGGGGAAGGCTCGGCGGGGCGATTCTGGCTCCTTCCGCGGGCTCCTCTTGAGTTAGCCCGGAGGGAGGGAGGGAGGGAGTCTCACGCGCGTGGCTGTCAGGTTCCTCCTCTCGGTGTGTATTAAGTTCTGGTTCTGTGGTGTGGCTGCATCTGAGCATGTGCTGAGTGTTTTTCCTGGTCCTTAAATATGTGCAGAACTCCTCCCCCTCTTTTTTAAAAAAGCTCCACCTGGTACGCAGGCTGAGACCCTACCTGCCTGCAGACTGTCTTGCCAGAGTGGTGCATGCTCTAGTTATCTCCCGCTTGGACTAGTGCAACGCGCTCTACGTGGGGCTACCTTTGAAGGTGACCCGGAAACTGCAATTAATCCAGAATGCGGCAGCCAGACTGGGGACTGGGAGTGGCCGCTGGGACCACATAACACCGGTTCTGAGAGATCTGCATTGGCTCCCAGTACGTTTCCGAGCACAATTCAAAGTGTTGGTGCTGACCTTGAAAGCCCTAAACGGCCTCGGTCCAGTATACCTGAAGGAGCATCTCCACCCCCATCGTTCAGCCCGGACACTGAGATCCAGCGCCAAGGGCCTTCTGGCGGTTCCCTCATTGCGAGAAGTGAGGCTACAGGGAACCAGACAGAGGGCCTTCTCGGTAGTGGCGTCCGCCCTGTGGAACGCCCTCCTAGCAGATGTCAAAGAGATAAATAATTACCTGACATTCAGAAGACATCTTAAGGCAGCCCTGCTCAGGGAAGTTTTTAATATGTAACACTGTACTGTTTTTAACACTGATTGGGAGCCGCCCAGAGTGGCTGGGGAAACTCAGCCAGATGGGCGGGGTATAAATAATAAATTATTATTATTATTATTATTATTATTATTATTATTATTATTTAAAATGGGATCTAAGCACTCACTGCTTAGCACAATTTCCACCCCTCCTTGGGATTCAGGTGTAAACGTAGGCTACTAAACACCCATTGAAATGCACAAACGTATCTCCACACACACAGAGATCAGCTTTCATTTGCATGTCAACAGCATTTGTGCTAACTGGAGCAAAATAATTGATTACAGCTTTCTCTCCTCCACTTTCACTCTCCCCTCCCCCGCACCTCTTCCTTTTCTGGCAACTTTCTTGGGCTTTTAGGACTAGTAAATTTTGTTTGCTTGGCATCCCTCCATTGCCTCCAGAGACAGACAGATGCCAACTGCCTGCACATATGCTTACATTTCCTATCTGTAAAATGAGAATAATAGTATTTAACTCAAAGAGCTATTACAAAGATTTTCTTACAATTATATCCCACCTGTCTTTCATCATAGAGCTCAAGGTTACATACACTTGGTTCCCATCAACACTACAGTATTCAGAAAGAAAGAAAGAAAGAAAGAAAGAAAGAAAGAAAGAAAGAAATGTAACTCCCAAGGTCTGCTGCTGTATCTATTTAAAAAGACACTGGAAGCTCTCCACACTGAGCAGGCCTGCTGTTATAGCACCTCTGTGGATGGATGTAGACTCATAGAATCATAGAACTGTAGATTTGGAATCTCTGCTAAAGCATCCATCCACTCTCTGCTTAAAAACCTCCAAGGAAGGAGAGGCCACCACCTTCTGAGGGAGCCTGTTCCACTGTTGTACACTGTTGTACCGTCAGAAAGTTCTTCCTGATGTTTTGTTGGAATCTCCTTTCTTCTCCCTGTAGATTAGGGGTGGGGAAGCTGTGTTCCTCCAGATGTTGTTGAACTCCAGTTTTGACCAAGCCCAGCCAACAGGGTCAATAATGATAAAGGGAGTTGTAGTCCCACAGCATCTGGAGGGCCAATGGTTCCTTGCACCTTCTGTAGATCATTAAGAGACAGCAACAAACAATTTGGACATAGACTGTAAATTTCAATCCTCCTACAGAGCTGGGAAACTGTCAGCTAATGTTTTCACAGTTTTGGGGGCTGATATTTCATTATTTTTTCCAGATGATGAGCTGAACCTCCTAGTCATTGTTGTTGACACTAACCCTATTTGGTGGGGAAAGCAGGCATTAGGAGGCTCAGAGGTAAGACTTTCCTGTTATATGTGAAACCTATGTCAGGATCATTGATTTTCTGTCCTTTTTTAAAAACAACAACAACACTAATTTGGATGCATTATAATCTAGATTGAAGTCTTCAGTGTTGATACTAAATAAATGTTCCTGTGAGTCTGAAGAACTTCCAATTAAGTGTGTGGTCCTATGTCAGTTGTACAGTGGTGCCCCGCAAGACGAATGCCTCGCAAGACGAAAAACTCGCTAGACGAAAGGGTTTTCCCTTTTTTGAGTCGTTCCGCAAGACGAATTTCCCTATGGGCTTGCTTCACAAGACGAAACGTCTTGCAAGTTCTTGCGAGTTTGTTTCCTTTTTCTTTAAGCCGCTAAGCCATTAATAGCCGCTAAGCCGTTAATAGCCGTTAATAGCCGCTAAGCCGCTAATAGCCGTGCTTCGCAAGACGAAAAAACCGCAAGACGAAGAGACTCGCGGAACGGATTAATTTCGTCTTGCGAGGCACCACTGTAGTTAGAACTGGACTGATAATTCAGTGTGCTAATGTGCTGTGTTCAGTGCAGATCCAGCACCAGGGGTCAGCATTGTTGGGCAGTTGTCAAGGCCCAACATAAGTACAGTTTGATGAGACGTTCACAAATTTAATTTCCCATTTTAAATCTTTGTGGTG